AGACTTCCTAATTTGAAAGTATTCACAATACGTCGAATTTGTTGCACTCCCTCATTTGCATGGCTCCGTGCAAGAAAAGATCAGTGTGTTTATCACAAAGATATCACAAAGATTAGTTCGCTACATTTAGATTAACGGATGTTCATTATATTGAGTCAGTCGACTGTTCGTGTCGAAACGTCTAGAGATATTCTACATAATACGTTTCTTGCCGAAATTAGCAGTGCTCTGCGTTCATATCTACCGCTTCTTCGTGTACATGTGTCACGCACGTTGTACGTTCCCGAACTTGGCTGTGCGCTTCTTGTTCGCAAAACAATAATTTCCGCGACAAAACTAGTATTTCGAAAAACTTGTTACACACTTGTAGCTTACGTCTTATAAAATGTTATAAATTTTATGAATTTGTGTGTGTGTGTGTGTATCACTTTTTTTCTATTTTGACCGTATACTATAAATATGTTCGTAATTTCTTCATTAAGACTCGAATAACATAAATCTTCATGATGCATCAAATGAAATGTTTTTTTTTCCCCAAAAAAATCATCTCGACAAAGAAAATTCTCTAATATTATACATCTGTAAACAGCGCGAGTATTGAAATTGAATCGCCCCGGGCAAAGAAGAATCCTCGCAATTCTGTCGAAAGAAAGCTGTAAAAATTGGTCGTGGCAACCGCCGCAAAATTTGATTCTGAAATAAAAATAGAATATTGAGGATAACGCGAATCGGTGAAGCCATTTGATCTTCGAGAGAGCGAGACCAAATGGGTGATCGTGAAGGGTGTTGCGGGGGAGGAATCGTGAGAGGGAGAAGAAACATATCGATATGGGGAAATGCTACGGCAACGGAATACAGAAGAGCGCATTATCGCCGACAAGCCAACTATCCGTCGCCCGATCATCCCTCTCCGCCTCACCTATTTCCCTCTCTTACTTCATTTTCCCTCCACGCAACGTATTAGTTATTGCTCAAAGAAACATTCTGTCCCGAGTATGTACTCTCTGTAATATTGTGAACTGTCGAATTCCGTGATTACTTTGAAATCGACGACACGAAATCGCGGCAATCGCGCGTTTGCGATTTGTGACATGATTTGCGCAGATTAAACTCGCTCGGAGATACTCGCGCTCGCGCTTTCTCGTTTTTTTTTTTTTTTTTGTTTTACTCTAATGAGAAATAAAATTTGTAATTTTATATATCTTGTACGCGACTTCTCGTGAAGTCATATTATCTTTTGAATAGAACATGTTATGTATACCATGTTGTCATCGTGCACATGCGCGATTGCAACTAGTACATAGTAGTGAGATGTCGGCACGAGAAAAGAACGTAACTTTACATGGTAAACAATAATACAGAAAACTGTACATCTCTTTTAGAGAAGATAGCACTTTTCTTTCTTTATATCTTTGTTATTCGTTCTGAAGTTTTAACAAATCGACAGAAACGCGGGACTTGCTTTACGACAAAGATAATGTAACATGTGACACAAATATCGAGCCTGTGGCGGTTAACACTCTCAGTTCGATGGCATTTAGGAGTTTTCGTTACTCCACCCCGGTCGGTGGGTTACAAATAGGCTGTCGCGTCACGCCATATGGCGTAAATGCAAATTTTATACTAAAAGAAGCCTGGACCATCCAGTCAATGCGTTTAAAGGGCATTGACTCAATAGTTTGTTTGTATCTCATACACACACACACACACAAATATGTGCGCGTTTGATAAGGTCAAAATTAAAAAAATTAATTTAGTTTCTTTGCAATAAACACAAGATTATTGTCAAAATGATCATTTTCGAGATCTTTTTATGTCATTCTCTTAAAATTCCGACCTGGCTAAGTTTTAAAATTACATTCAAATTCGACATCTCAAAATTTTAAATTCCGACTCGGAAATTTCTATTATGCAGAAGAGAAGAGAATATTCTTTTACGCTTATATAGCGAAATAATAGCTCTATAACCGACTCGTGTGACTTCTGACTCCACAGTTTTCCCTACTTATCAATTTGCTCTAAGAGAGATACAAGACGACAATACGTACATTTTTATACACATAGAATTTTTTTACAATTATTCGGATTTAAAATCGATAAGTTAATCACATTGTTAAGTACGCGATAAACAAAGGAGAATAAAATTCTGTCAAATGCGGTGGCCATGGTAAATGCTTAATGATGCGTGCGGATGTCGTCATATGCGACATTTACGTGAAAGTTTTCCACGTCATTGGTCGACTCGCTTATTATTCAAAACGTATATCGGCACGTCGATAAATTTTAAAACTCCACCTTTTTTCACGTTCCATAAACACGGAGTAACATTTTTCGAAATATATTTATATGTAGTATAGGACACAAAAATGCTATTACATTTTGAGATAAAAATAAGATGATTAGTATTAAAAATCGAATATAATGAAAAGAGAATTGCAAATTTTTAAAATTCAGATTTGCATCGCACGAATCTCATCGCACGGTGATTAGTTTTTAATTCAAGCTCCTTCTAAGTAGAGAAGTCGCTCGCGCGAATTTTGTCGCCCCTGAGAACGACAAAGCTGAGTCACAGGACTATAATCTTTCGCATAATAAATTGTCTCGGTAGCGATATCAACGCAGCGAGATCAGATGCTATCGGTATTATCTGTTACGGACGAGAAGTGGAGGACGGGTGGACGACCGCGGAAATCAGTGCCGCTCTCTGCGCACCCGCCCTAAGGGCTTTACACGAGTTACAAATGCGGTTTTGTATCTGCGCTCGCTTTCTCTCTCTCTCTCTCTCTCTTTCTCTCTTTTTGCGACAAAGTAATGGGCTTAGATAATCCTGATTTAATAAATCGAACAGTTGTGAGAGGCGACGCTCAAAAGCGTGTCGACGGGGGAAATGCGGGGGGAGGGGGGGAACAACAGTTTTCCGCCCTCTCCTTCTACCTCTCCGCCCCCTTTCACAACGTGCGCGTGACTAATGCGTTCAAAAACAAGATAGATGGATCCTGATCAGAACTTCCTTTTCATTTACATTTTCGCACTGTATCAGTCGCAACGATTTAAGAAATAACGATCGCGAAAGCTTTGCGATCGATTTTTTTTTTTTTTTATCTTTCGATAAAGAGAAATACATGAATATTCGAATATGAAGTGGTTTTACCTAAATAAATGCTTTATCGTCTTTGAAGTTTGTTTTAGCAAAGTAAACAAAGTCGAACTAATAGAGAGAACTAGGTCGGCTTGCACATGATCCCGTGAGAGAGAGTTCGGGTAAACTTAACATCAATTTCGATCGCATTCTCAGTTTCTCCGTTCCATTGAGCACAGACATTACTCGCAAATAAATTTTTTTACTATATACGGATTATGTTTTCTGTAATATTTGTATATACAAGTCGAAAAATGCCTATGTACACGCGTAAGTAAATAGTATTGAGAGATTATATAAATACAAGAGAAAGATAAAAAGTAAAATAATTAATATTATACCTAATAAGATATTTCATGTTATATATACATTCAAAAATGCTACAATTTAGAAAAACTCTAGAGATAGTGTAAGTTGTTGAGAAAAAAAATTTCATTAAAAACAAAATCACGATAAGATCTTCCCTTTAATTAACTTGGAACTATCTCTCTCTCTCTTGCTTATCAAATGGCTAAAACCGATAACTTGTACACGCAGCGTAATATTTTTCTCGCATTTTTTTTTCTTCAACCCTCTTCCGGGTTCTTTCTCTGCTTTTCTTTATGAGAACACTATAGTAAGAGAAATATATATATAAATTGGACTTTTCTTGTCGGGGATCAAACTGCTTTTTTATGTCCGATGTTCGCTTGCAGTCAATCCCTGCAGATTGTCTATTTTCCTACTTCTTTGTTATCTTAATTTCTCGAGTATTTTAATTTTCATCCGAATAGCTATTAACCTTTACGGCCGGCCGTTTACTTTTTAATTCGTTTACCGCTTCGCGCTCACTTGCTCGCCGGGACGCTTATATCTTTAATTTAAGCTCTCGACTTGGCGGCCATTGAACAAGCCTGCGGATTGGGGTTGGGGATACGGAAGAGCAGCGGCGCGACGGCGGCGGCGGCGGCGGCGGCGGCGGCGGCAACAGAGGTGGCGGGCAAAGAGGGTAGACGAGGAGGAGTTTAGCAGAGTGCCACACGCTGGCATGGATCGGGGGTGGTTTGTGGGTGCAATCGCGCTACGGTGAAGTTCCCCCGTGCTCCCCTGACACCCGTTACGTTAATTAAATACATTGTTGCGGGGACACAGACTCCTACTGTGTATCTCGGGCTTTATAGGTGCAGAGGGGCACCTTAAGTTAGCGCTGTTCCGACTACTCCTCCTCCCCCTCTTTCTCTTTTGCTTCTGTAGATTTTGCGGAAACTGGTCGCCAATAAAAATTTTTCCGGAATCTTTGTCAATTAATTCAAAGTTGTTAGGTTGTTAGGTTACATATGTCTGCTAGAGAGTCAAGATCGACGCACAGTCGAATCTCTATATTGCAACTTCCCGTAAATTTCTCCATATATTGCGAATAAAGTTTTCTCTTTAAAATGAATTTCTCCTCTCGCGTTATCATCCCATTAGAATATAATCGCCATGTGATCGTGCATGTGCAAAATGAAAATAATCATGTGATTTGTTTCAATACGTTAAATTTTTGATAAAAAGTAAAACGGAAGAAAATTACAACAGAGAGAAGACTCGATCCTGACGAAGTAACAATAGAGAAGTGTTACCGTCGCTGTTTTGCAAAACTACTCATGATATTATTTGAAAATTTAGAGAGAGAAAAAGCGCCATCTTTACATATTCTATAATTCTATACAGAGCTTTATACAAAAAATATAAATAGGTTAATTATTATTGTAAGTTATTGTTATATATTATTAATTCTTGCAATCGAAGAGTTTAAGTCACTGATGTAACAGTTGACTTACATCGGACTTACTGTAGAAGATTCTTAGTAACATTCATACGTCCGATTTTCGATTTGTAGGTGTGGTTCCAGAATCGGCGCACGAAGTGGCGGAAGAAACATGCAGCGGAGATGGCGACAGCGAAGCGGCGGCAGGAGGAAGTCGAGGGCGTCGTTGCCGAGGGTGAGGATGGCTGCAGCGACGCGGAGGCTGACGCCGGCAGCGGCGGTGGCGGCAGTGGCGGTGGCGAGACAGCCGCGAAGAGGCTGCGAAGGGAGCTCGAGCAACAGTACAGGCATTGAAAGCCGTCGCTGGGGGGGTGGTAGACGCTATTCGAGAACACGCGGGGAACGTAAAAAAAGAGAGGAAAGGGACGTGGAGGAGAAGAATAAGGCGTGGCCCGGAGGCGGCGCATTCCGGAAGATTTCTCGCGGTTTGTTCGGTGAACAACGTGCGTGTCGGCTCGGAAATGATCGCAAAGCGACTGAATGGTGGCGGATAGAGAGAGAAAGAGAGAGAGAGAGAGAGAGGGAGAGAGAGAAAGAGAGAGGAGAGAAAGAGAGAGAAGAGAAGAGAAGAGAGAAGAGAAGAGAAAAGTGGAAGAAGCATACGTAGATGTGTACGCACATACACGTGCGTATTCCTTCGTGATTTAATCGCGCGCGCTTAAAGCGAGTAACGTATGAATATGAAGTGTTCGTCGGGCGGTAGAAGTCACTTAAAAATCTCATTATTCTGAATCAATTTAATTTATCACACACACACACACACACACACATATACACATACACACAGATGTACATATAATAATATTAATTTCTTGAATTGAGATTGGATAGGTACCGTTTGATTCATCGTAAATCTGCCATTTAACAAAATGAACGCGACGCGAATTTTCAAATAAAGACTTTACATCTCAATGTTAATCTCATTGACATCAATATCATTGTCAATATCATTTATCAGCGATCAATGTGACAATTGGAAAGCATTCTGATAAAGGTCAAGTCGCTGATTTATGAAATGTCAGAACATGTCAACCACAAATTGTGTGATATAGATATGAATTAAATTAACAAAAGATCCGAAAAAAATAAATACATATCTATCTATATCATCGGAACATAATGGAAATCGTATGTAACGTTTTACACAAGATTTAAAACATAAATGATCATCAACTTCATTTGCAACATTTGTAATTAAACTATGTAACGACGCGTTAAAATTAACTACTAAATTAACTTTAATCGGTAATATTTTTTGGTGTACATGTTATGTCGTCACAATCTATCGATCGCATGTGCAAATTTATATAGTTGCTACGAAAGCATACGGAGGAATCGATACAAAGGGGTTTGCCGAGCTGCTTACGCGATGACAGATTAGTACCTGGGGCTCTTTGTTATCTATCCGACAAACAATGCACGCAACGTAACGTCAGCTCTGTTAAGAAGGTGTTAATGGATAACCATAAATTCAAAGACCTAGTATAATCTGTGTGTCATTATACCTAGTCAACTATTATCGAGAAAATGGCACTTAATGAAAATAAAAATTTATTCCCTCATTTAAATAAATAATCGTACGACTGAGTTAAATTAATTAAAATGAAATAAAAAAAAACTTATTTCTTGCGTTTTTTAGTTAAATGCCTAAATATTTAATTTAAAAATTATTTATTTAAAGACATTATTATTAGAAAATTATTGGTGTATTTTATAGACACGTACACGAACGCATATGCTGTTTATCGCAACGGCTCATGCGATTTATGAGATACAATGCAAAAGTTTAAAAAAATATACTATGTAAGAAAACGCGATTTATCTGTTTGCAAAGTACAACTCGCGATTTGAAACAATAAAAACTTTTTCGTTGTAAAAAACGTCAAGAAACACAATTTTCTTTACATTTTTGAATTACACTATACGACTTTTGATATAATATTATGAGATTATATTTTTTTAAATATTATAATGCACCATAGAATATGCTATTTTTATTAATAAAATTTAATATTAATACTTTTCAACGTAACAGTTACGATTTTATTATTATTTAAACTCTGACTAAAATGATAAACAATAAAAATAGTCTGGAAACCATTTTCACACAATGTATGTGTAACATATGAATTTAATGTTATATGATAAAAATAGCATATTCTCCTACAGTGCAATAAATCTGTCTTACTCTCTTCTATAATATTATGTAAAAAGGCGTATGGTGCAATTTAAAAAATTCAATTCACCTAGTCACACACGCGCACACACACACGCACACGCACACATGTACGTGAGAAAGCGATAAATAAGTATCCAAAACGACCCATACATACAGCGACAATATCACATTGCTGTTGACAAGTTTCAAAATTATGCCAACTGCAGAAAATGAGATTTCTCATTGTTTTATCTTTGTTTCATTGTAAAGTGTGGCAACGTGACAAATTGCCTAAACATAAATTATCTCAGAGAATAAAAAACCCACTGTTAAATTTAAGTTTCAAACAAGTTTGAATAAAACGTTTCGAGAAAGAGATGACGAGCGGCGAAGGAAAGCTTTGTATATTATGTAGATATAAAAAATGATAAACGTGAATGTGATATCTAACGTATTTAACACGGCGTTCAGTCTAAATACATAAGTAAGTAGATATCGTCTATTGTAGACTAAAAGGAGAATTATAGAGCGTGTATATTTATACATATACACACAAATAAATAGTACGTGAGGCGCGTCAGTAAACTCGTTCGGTTGGATTTTTTTTTTAGTTGCACTTTCTTTTTCTGTATTAACAAAAATGAGACAGGAGGATGTATATTCAGGTTTTAGAGAGAAAACAAAAAGAAACAACTGAGAAAACAATATGTAAAATGTAAAATATAGATATACACACAAAAAGTGCAAATAAACAGAACGAATACACCTATATTCTTGTCGCAAATTATTGAGATTAAATGTGGTTTCCTAATTTGTCTTCTTATTCAACAAATATTTGTATGTTGTGTATGTAATTTTTCTACAGATATTTTTTTAATGCAGTCATACTAAACTTTAACTTAATAAAGAATATATTGTGATGTATCTATATAGCGTGTAAAGGCTCTTTCATAAAAAATATTACAAACAAATAAAAAAATCTGTAACAATTATACTGTATAAAGAGTCTTCTCATAAAATATATTCCCTACAAATATAACATCTTTTTAAGATCTTATTTCTTTTTCTCTTTAAACATTTTATAAAGTTAGTTGTAAGTGTCTTATTTTTTTTTAAATCATTCTTGAATTTCACAAATGAGAAAGAGACAGAATTGTGGATTATGACATTAAAGTTTTTAATATGAAAATTAGGAAAACCATATTTAAAACTAAATGCACGATGAGAATAAAAGTTATATGTAGATTTTGACGAGAATGTGAGCGTAAATCATTGCATTTAGAAAAGATCTCTCTCTGACAGTAAGAACTTCGAATTTGAAGATCTCTCTCTCCCTCTCCCTCTCTCTTTCTCTCTAACTCTCTCTTAGAAAGAAAGAAAGAAAGAAAGAACTATTTCGAAATACAGAAAAAAAGAACATTTTGTGCTATATTTCACGCGTTGCGATTAATGGAGCGTCTAAAAAGCCCGTATTTATAATCATTGAATATTTGTTCAAGAACGTATCAATTGAGATTCTCAGAACTCGGATTTAAATAACAAAATTGTGACGCAAACATTATCGATCTGTACGTATCTATTATTAAAAATTGAGCGACGCTCTTAAACCACCTGTCTAACTTCTTATTTGATGCTTCTCCTCTAATGATTTTGTTATCCTCATTTTTTGTCAAGTTCAAATGAGCGCGATGAGAAGTATAAAGCAATAGATCTATTGCGAGGGAATATTTGAAGCTCGAGCGCGATAAATGAGCTGGAAAAATAGAAGTCATCGAAAGAGTCATTTATAAGAGTATGCTGGCAAAGGAATCGCGAATTGAACCGCTGCTCTCGAGCAATTATGAATTCAATTATGAACAGCTCTGCTTTAAATTGTGAAACTAAAATTTATATTTTTAGATAAATTTTATATACTCAAATGATTTGCAATTACAAGTGTCAAATCTTGAGATTCGCATTTGAGTTGAATCGCATTGTAATATTTAAAAACTATTTTCAATTGAGATTCTCAACTGAGACATGATTAAAAATACGGGCCTAAAGCACATTCCAAAAAAAAAAGTCTCTTGACATCTCTAGAATATTCGACATAAACACATTATTGTACAGTAAATTTAGATAAATTGTTAATAGAAAAAAGTAGAGACAATCTGTATAAAATATTGTATAAATTATACATACATGTTATATCTATCGCTTGTGTATTATATCTCTAATTTAATAAATGGAATACACACACATTATGGTAATATAAAATTAAATACATCTCGCACGATGCATTTTTATTTGAATTATTCCACCATCCTCCACCACGTTCTTAATTATTATTATTTATAATTTTTTGATGTTTTATCATTGTTTTAACAGAGAGAGAGAGAGAAATGCAATTTTTGTGTTCCAACTTACACATGTTTCCGAAACATGTAAACAATCGCGCTACACAATCTGCGCAACAAAATGTTAAAGTGTGCAAATTACTCACCACTGCCAATTTCTGCATTTTGTTTTATCAAACCGTAATTGTTGTTTCCATTTTTACTCTTCTCTCCTTGTGTGTCCTCTCCTTTACCTCTTTGTGAGAACGTATAACTAAAACAAATAAAATTCCTAACATGCATATCATATCGTATGAATATATCGTAGACACACTCAATATAATACTATATGTACTATAGATATTGCAACATACCGAATCTAATCTTTATAATATTGTCTAAGGTATATCATTTACATATAATATTTTCAAAACGTACCAGTTTCTATCTAGATATGCTAAAGCTCATCGGCAATATCGTGTGTGTTTATCTCTCAAATATTATAATTCTAACCAATATCCTCTCTCTTCACATGTGGCGACATCTTACAGCGCGCGTAATAGTTTGAATAGCAAAACTGGGAAGTTTTGAACATCTATGATTGGTATTCATAATTGGATTTTATATACATTTGAGATATTATCTCTAATTTAATTTCAAATGCGGTAATTTAATTTCAAATGCGGTCAATAAAACAGCCTATTCATCCCAAGATAAATTTAAGACGATCTTAAATACAACAAATTATGAATATATCTATATCTATATCCACACATTCCATTATAGAATGTTTACGTGACTTGAGCGCGGCAATCAGCGTGAATTAACGCCAATCAGGCAAAAAAAAAAAAAAAGAAAAAAAAAGAAAGCGTTACGTTCTGGAAACGGTCGAGTGAGAAACGTAACAGCACTGATTATTTATATTTTCTTTCGCAACACCGCCATTTCTCAAAAAGTTGAATGTGTGTGTGTGTGTGGATATTTACAAAACTGGTAAACTTTCTTACGTCGTTAATAATGCGCAATCTGTAGCTCAATACACGTCCACGCAATCTAAGCTGTAATAGCGAAAACTTTTCGTTTGCTCCGCCGCCGCTTGTTAAGACAAATTTATATTCTTTTATCCTTTAATGCAACTGCCTCGACACCCGTACTTTTATTGTCGTCGTCAGTGCGCGCGCGCCTACTCTTGTCCCAACTTTTTCCAATTAGAAGTATTTTTCATTGATTTAAGACCCGGCCTACCCGAAAGTAAGCGAATATTAACGGCTTAACACAGCGATAAATTTATAGTGTCGATATCCCCTCTTAGGAAGGCATATGCCCCTTGCTCAATAGGAGGGCGGAAATGGGCGGAAAACATTCGCGAAAGAACAATGTACGCGCTTACATAAGTCTACAAGAGTCGCAAAAACTCTCGTAACATTAATCACCGTACTTATCTGAAATCAATATTTCCGCGCGTACGAGAGGCATTTAAATATCAACAAACTGTGCTTATTGCTACCCGCTTCTGTTTGTTTTGCCAATTTTTCCGATTCTTTTTTCTATTAAAAAAATATTTTTGCTACGGAATCGAAAGATCTTACAACTTTCTCATAATATTCATTATGAAAATGGACGCCTTAAATGATCTTTTAAGCAGAAAAACTGAGTATTACATAAAACTTATAAATTGTGATTCAAATCGCTGCGCTTTCTCCATCAGGTTTAGTTTCACATGTCAACTTTTATTATTTAAAGTATACAAATACAGTAATTGCACAAGATCTGCTCGAATTATTCTGTCGATCTTAAAGTTTTTTACCTTTATATATTATATTGTTATTATTATTATTATTATTATTATCATTATTATTATCATTATTATAAAATACCTGCATTGTTTTTAATGTGGTTTCCACGAGATATTATTTAAACCTTGAAATTGTCGTTTCAGACTGCTGCTATCGGCCCAGGACGAATTAAGATATTCGTCGTCATCCTGTTGCTCAAGTTTCTGAAAAAATAAATATGGCGTTCTCAATTTTTGCGTGCTTATCAAGTATACAACTACAGACATATTTACTTATTTAACGTTTACACTAACTTTTAATTCTTCCTGACGACGATAGGCGTGTAACATCAATTGTTTTCGTTCATCTTCTGACATCAATAGCTCTCTCGCAGGTTTACCAGATCCTCTCTTCTGTAACTTCACAATTACTTTAGTTTTTTCATTATTTCCCAAAAAATCTTTTATCTTCTTTCCCGGTAACAATTCTTTTCCAGAAAACCATAATTGAGCTAATTGCGCGTCGATTATCTATGACAAAAAAAAAAAAACATATTGGAAACGATAAATAAAGATTATATTTTTAGTGTTTATTCTCTTTAATTTTTTTATTTTTTACACATACCTCGAGAGATGCTTGAGTATTATTAAATGTCTCAGTATTTTCAAACTCTTTACGTATTACATCGTGTGGCGGTAGTCCCATTGGGTAAACAATCATTACAGCTCCTCTTAAGATATCTAAAGCATCTTGAACTGTTTTCTGTGTAACTAATTTCTCCTCTTGTACTAATTTCTGTTAAAAATATAAAATTAAAGTTCTTTAAAGTAACAAAAAAGTTTGTTTTTTAAAAGAAGTATAAAATACGAAGTATACATATTGCATTTACTTTTGATGTTATAATTTTTACATCCTCAATGGCTTTTGTTAATATTTCTTGCATTTTTTCATTAGGCATCTTTCCATTTCTGCGATCTATTTAAATAACAAAATTTTTATTTACCACATATAATAAATACCACCGAGCTTATCATGTTACTGAATAAATATTCTTTACCGATTTTGTCTTTGTTAAAAGTCCAGCCACCCATGGGTATGCATTTTTCACCCCATTCGTCTTTAAGCTTAAGCTCTTCGACTTGTTCGTCAGTAAGACCGATGATGTCAGGAGGTAACATCGTGCCATGCTTAGCCAGCTCTTCAATTTCTAAGTTTTGCGGAAAAAATTTGTAAAAGAAAAAAGAGCTGAGTGTTGAAAATATAATAATTTGATCTTCGATGATATTTATTTTGCATATCTCTCTCTCAATATTCAAGCTACTTAATTTATCACTATTATCCGATAATTTATCTCATTAATCGATTCTAATTGTGAGAATTGTATGAGAACTGATAATCTGTAAACAAATAAAATAAAGTGCAAAATTCTTGTCAAAAATCTGCACTGGCTTTCGAAACAGGTTGTCGACGGAAAGTGCGAAATGCGTTGCCGATGTTAATTTTTAAATTTATTATTAAACTATTGTGTCAAAACAAACATCTCCATAGCATTGCACATATTTACCATAACATATTCTGGATATCTTTAAACGACCGTTGTAAATAGCCACGATGTCACGCACTACATCGTCTATATTCGCATTTACATGCGTATCGTACAAAAATTGGCTCTCATCACCTTTCTTTACATGTAATCTCACCATTGTCTCAAGTTAAAATTTACAACTTTGTACTCTAACTTACAATTTTCAAATTACTAATTGTTAACTCGTACTATATATGCTGATGTGCGTTGCGATAAAATCACCACTTTATTTCAAAAAATAAATTCTCTTTAGCGGGTTAATATCGTGAGATAAGAATACATGTGTATGTATTGCTGGTTAGCAACTTGAATGATGACAGAAAACATACCTTGGTAACACACATGTTATCGATTAAACAATGCAAAAATTAGATGTCCAGCAAACGTTTTTGACCCACTAAATCGTTCCCGCTCGAAAAAGATACACAGATCCGTCTCAAGTGTATTTTGGGATGCTACACTGGATTCAAAAGAGAAGAAAATTGGAGCGGACGAAAACTCGTCCCGTTCGCGAAAAATTCCCTATTAGAAAGTTTCCCCCGCTCTACAGTCATTGGCTGTCGGAGAATGTTCAGGCACCAATCCGCACGCAATCTATCCTCAATTCGCCCCAATTTTCTTCTTCTATGGCCAACCAGAGAGAAGAAAGAGTGCGTTCAGACAACTCGACGGTTGAGAGATCATCACTTATGATAGGACTATTCTTCAAAATCTGCTGCGGTTCCAAAAGTATGATCCAATCAGAAGTGATTATCTCTCAACCGTTATGCAACTGTTGAGTTGTCTGAACGCACCCAAAGAGAACGGCCCCAGAACCATAATGACTTTTCCGTTTGTATTTTTTACACCAGCGCTATGTCCACAGGTGGTGGACATTGGCAACTACGTAACTATGTCCACGAACGACCATGTCGGTCCGTGCGCTATGATGTCCAAGTCAGCTCTCAGTCTTCTCTCTGATATTGTAGATGTCTATGGTCAGTGCGGTGAATAATGGTGGACAATGGCGACGTTTCGACAGTTGGGGTGACATCTCGACAGATATGTTTGGATATGTTCCCGGTACGTTATTCGGACGCTGCTGCAAGTTTACGCGCATTGATTCACGGCGGTTAGACGTACATATCCGCAAGATTTCAAGTATTCCTCTTTCTTTCTATTTTTTATTTTTCAATTCGTAATGGCCTCGGTGAACGCGAATGCGCTGTCCAGTGACATAAGTCGTAGAAACCCTCAGGATGAATACGAACTTATCCAGAGAATAGGCAGTGGGACCTACGGTGATGTTTACAAGGTCTGTATCTTTTTTATGGATTTTAATTATTTTTAAATTCTTTGACGATAACGAATTGATTATCGTATATTTCCTCTTTACAGGCTAAACGACTGTCCATGAATGATCTCGCAGCAATAAAGGTTATCAAGTTAGAGCCAGGTAAGCAATGTTCACGATTGAAACTGTATAATTGTTTTATTATTATCGCTTACTTTATTTCATTATTATTTTACAATTATTTTCTTTGTAGAATATTTATATAATTTTTTATTTATTTGATACATAAAATATAATAGATAAAAATGTACGGAGTTGTAAAAATGTTTTAAACATTAAAAAAAAAATTAATACATTTGTGTGTTCTAAAATAAAAATATTTAACTTGATTAAAGTTCTGTTGCAGTGAATTATGTAGCAGAATTGTTTATTTATGAGATATTTGTGTATCTTTTAGGTGATGACTTTGCAATCATTCAACAGGAAATTTTAATGATGAAGGACTGCAGACATCCAAATATTATTGCATATTATGGTAGTTACTTGAGAAGAGATAAATTATGGATATGTATGGAATATTGTGGAGGTGGATCATTACAAGATATATATCACAGTATGTATATAAAATTGTTACTTCATATTTACACAATGTTCTTTATCATAGTTTAGATATGTTAAAATTATTTTGTATGTTACATAAGAATAATTGAATTTTTGAGAAATAAAATAGTTTAAAATGATTCAAATATTTAAATTTTACATGAAAACCTTACTTGAAGATTTATGACTTTTACAAATGTATTTTAAATTAATGCTTATTGGTATTACAAATTGTCAGCATGATATTAATGTTCTTAGTTTTCTTTTTTCAATTACAAAACAGCTGCATAACTCTTAAGTTTTGTTAATATACTTTCAGTAACTGGACCATTATCAGAAATACAGATATCATATATGTGTCGAGAGACCCTTACAGGTCTAGCCTATTTACATAGCATGGGTAAAATGCATCGTGATATTAAGGGTGCCAATATATTATTGACTGAAGCAGGTGATGTAAAATTAGCAGATTTCGGTGTGTCGGCACAAATTACTGCAACCATTAACAAAAGAAAAAGTTTTATTGGCACTCCTTACTGGATGGCTCCTGAAGTACTTCTGCATTTTTTAATAATATTAACACAGTGCATTATAATTTTATATCAAGCCTAATTGATATCTTGCTATGTATAGGTGGCAGCTGTCGAAAGAAAAGGTGGTTATAATCAGTTATGTGACATTTGGGCATGTGGAATAACTGCAATAGAATTGGCAGAATTACAGCCGCCAATGTTCGATCTACATCCGATGCGTGCTCTATTTCTCATGTCAAAATCAGGTTTTAAACCACCAACATTAAAAGATCGTGACAAATGGAGTCCAATGTTCCATAATTTTGTTAAAGTCGCTCTTACAAAAAATCCCAAAAAACGACCGACAGCGGAAAAATTGCTTCAGGTTACTTTTATTTTATATCTATCAAGTGATGCAATTTGTAATGAACAAATACATTTGCAAAATCAATGATCGTTAATCTATAAAATTTATTTGGAATTATAGCACGCATTTTTCCAAGGAGAGATGAGTAAAAGGCTGGCGTTAGAGTTATTGCAAAAAGTATCAAATCCCAGCCATATGTTTGCTGATCTAGAAGCTGATGAAGATGGAGCAGTACCCAATGTTCCACAAAGAATAGCTTCACGTCATACTGCAAAATCTAGGCCAAAGAGCCCTATATCGCAACTAGATAGTGATGGTAAGCACTATAATAAAGTAAATTTATTAATATTCAATTAAAGAATTTTAACAAAATATGAGCTACAAGTCTTATATTACAACATTAACCGCGATAATATAATTTATCTTGCAGATCAAATCAATATTGATGGAGAAATGTTACACGGAGATTCTATATCGCCATCCATGGATACTAATCCTGCATGGGATATCATGGATATCATGAATAATGTCAAAGTGAGTCACAAATACTTAATTTGTTTTTAAAGACGTAATACTGTTTATTTAATGAATTAACGTAAACATGATGATATAAAGAGATTATAATTGCATAAGTGTTTTTTTTTTGTTTTGATATAACAATTGTAGTAATTAAACAAAAACCACAAATTATAGTAATGAATTAGACTTAATTTGCATATTATACATGTAGGCTGTACATAATTGTGATGTTCATCCAGACTGCGGGATTGGTTCTGTGTTCGAGGATGTCCAGGAAAAGTAAGTTTTCGTATTTTAAATTTGTTTTATCAAATGTTATCGCGATGTCATAGAGACAAATCTAGAATTTTCTATCATGTCATATTCATCTGATATAATTGTATCATATGTTCACACTCTCTCTTTTTCCTCTGTCTCTCCCCTCTCTTTCTTTCCCTCCATCGTTTTCTTTTCTTTTTGCTTCATATACATTTTTATTGTTTTTTTAAGAATCATGAGTAATATATCATCTTTAAACTGCTAAATAAAAAATGTAATATACTGTGTAAAGAATCATCAGCATCTCATTATTGGCTGATAGTAAAAGTAAATTGCATATGGCATGTGTGCTTTATGTTTTTTGCATTATGATTTATTATAAAAAACAAACGAGAAAAACATGTGTGTTAATCAGACTTACGTCAAAACTCTCAATATGTGTCTTATTCGGAAATGCAGTTGCGGCCATTTACATGTTAGTGTTTTCCCAACAATTTTTACGGTTTATTGACTAATATATGTATATATAAATCTTGATATCTCTTATTCTCATATAATTGTTTTATATTGTTTTCTCTCATTACATTATATACAGAATGTTCGAAAAGTTCCTCATTTGGGATACATCTATCTTGCATCCATTTTGCATCGACTTGCACCCCAAATGCAAGAAACTTTTGAACAGTCTGTATAATACGCATATTGTATAGTAGTAAGATTTACTTATTTTTGTATCAGTACACTTGACGCAAACCTTAAGACAAGTATTATATCGAAACATCGTAGGAAAACTGGTACAGAAATATTTCGTATGACTTTAAGGTAAAATAAATATTACTCCTTGGTGTGTGATCTGGAATGAAAAAGACAATTTTATTTTGAGTGTACATTAATCTTCAATGAGAGAAACATGTTACATATATTATTTTCTTTCTTGTTTTTACTCTTGTAAAATGTTTGAAATATTCGTTGCCGGATGAGATATAACAATAATCTTTCATAATATTAAAATAATATAACTCTAATAACACATAAAACCTATAAAATAATAAACTTATGCATGCAATAATTTTTCTTAAAAAAATAGATTCAATCGAGAGATAAAAAATATCTAAAGATAACGTTCCCAATTCATATTTAACCAAGAAAACTAATAATGTATATATACAAGAAAAAACTAATAATGTATATATACAAGATGTTTTCTACAGACATGGGGGGGGGGGGGGAGTCTAATGTACATATATATATATAACTCTATCGTTATTTTGCATGGTGAGCAATAAGTATGATAGCTGTTTTTATAATACTGCATGGTTTCTAGCAAAATTGAAAGATGTTGATATGCATTTATTAAAATAAACAGTTTTTGATTATACAACATATTTTACATTAATATATAAGCATAGCTTTATATACACACAGACACACCCACATACATGTTTAAATGCTATATATATAGTTTTTCTTAATAGTTTACCAGTTTGTGTTCTAAAATTATTAAATGTAGGATAGAAAATTGTGTGAAAATTTCATAAGTTTTATAAATTAATAGAAAAACTTTCTAATAAAACATTTTGTGTATTATGTGTATGAAAATGAGAAATTTTCAACATATATAACACACATGTTCGGCTATAAAATTTTATATATATATATGTCCTGTGTCACTATATTAATCCCTACTGCCGCATTTGTTTTTAGTTAATTACCTTAAATTATCTATCTTTTTATTATTTATTCCTTTTATATATTTTTAATTTTTCGGATCAGTTTGTAATTCTAGTAATTTCTCCCAACAGGAGTCTATTGCAGTACATTGATGAGGAGTTGTTGCTAAGGTATTGGCAGGTAACCCTTTTCCCTTGCACCTCGCATCTTGCACTTATATCTTTTAATATTTCTCTTATGTAAATTACTCTCTCACTATAAACTGTTAATTTATTATTTAATTGCTTATGTTTCTTTGATAGTTTGCTTTCTAATTTTGCAAAAATTAACATAATTTGAGAGAAAAGATTACTGTATATTTGTTTTTAAATATTTCATTTTAATCAATCCTATAAAGTTTCTTTTATCAATCTTTTGAGATTTACGTGCTACTACACAATTACTTCAAATAATTTTCAATTTATGTCTTCAAATGAATAAAAAATAAACCTACATAATTTTTAAATGAAACATGTTTTGAAGAAGCTAGTTTCACTAAATATACTTAACAAACATATTTAGAAGAGAGAAGAAACATCCAAATAAGGTGACTAAAAGTGCATAATACAACGCAATTTCGATCATGTAACACTTTATTAATAGCTTTTTATCGTGTAATTTGCAATAACATATATTTAACAACATCATTTAGATTATTGTGCTTTTGTTTTGTTATGTGCATTTCATGTCAACTGTTGCATGTTAAGTTTGATATTTCAAAATTGTTTTTGAGATATTCTTCTAGCAACGCGCTGATGAACGAAGTTTGTGTATTTATTCTATAGATATAGAGAAAATGTTTATTTTACATAAAAGGTGTCTCACAATTACTGTCTAATATTTTTCAGATTTTTTAGAACTTGACTTTTGACTTTGAGACGCTTTAAACTTTTTTGTCTCAGAATATTCTAAAGATTATTCTGAAAATATTGGATGGTAATTATAGGACACCCTATGTGTATATGTATGTATGTAAGTATAGAAGTTTTTGAACTTCATGGTCTTTATCATAGCATATAAACAGTGTTAGCACATGGAAGATTCCAAATATAATTTCGGGAATGTGGTTTTACTTCTTCAGATCACACAATAAAATAATAAAAGATAATATAAAAATATAAACGTTAATATTAAACAATATAATTTATCGTACCAGTCAAAAAGTCTACATATAGTTAGTATCTCGAAATTACAAAATAAATAAATAAATAAATAATAATAACTTAATAATATTAAGTTTTCATCTCAGATCAAACGAATGTATATCAGACTTTTGGAGTTGACTGTGTTAATATTTTAAAGAATATATTAAAAAACTACACTATTAAATAATCATACATTCATTTTTGAGATAGTAATATTTACTTGAAAAGCAGAAACAGTATTAGTCAGTTGATCGTTACGTTTAGTTTATTATGATAGTTTATTACGATTTACATAATATATATGTATGTACAAAGAAACACACATGATTTTATAAAATTGTAAAATATGTTGTACAATGTATAAAAACCACCAAGAAAATGAGTTTATAATAATGTATAGTATATGTGATCATAGTAGTTTTTATATGTGCAGGGGGAATGCAATGTCAGTGGTTGATGGGCATTGCGACCAGCTATATTCCCTGCAGTAAGTAGATAATAAATTATAATAAACGATTTTATTTTCAAATGACACATTTTAGTTAATATATTATCATAAAAATGTTTTTATTTATTTTTACTACAAATAGGTGCTTATTAAGAAATTTACTAAGATTCGCATTCATAATCTTAATTCAACCTAAGGATTGGTTTGGGTTTAGAGACAATATTTCAAACCGAAAAAAAACTTTATATATCGGGGAATATATTAAAATTGATGTATCTGTTTCTGCCTATAATTTATTCAACTGGCACTATATTAGATCCACATAGAGTGCTTATTATTAGTTATTATACTAAGAACCGGCTACGTATGTACCAATAATTTAACATTTTCTTCTAGATTATATAACAATTGTTTTGACATCACAATACTAAAACTTGCTAGAAATATGCTTTTTAATATTTCTAACTTTTTTAACATTACAATTTTTAGTGTTAATATTTAAACATTTAAATGTTGTTGTTTACATTTCGAAAAATATACGAAATTCCTCTCAGATATGAATATATGTAAAAAGTAAAAATTCGTAATTGTTGTGTTTATTTTATTGTTTATTTTATTGTTTATTTTATTGTTTATTTTATTGTTTATTCGTCTTTGTTATCGTTCTTTATTATCAGTATTAATGTTTTTCCTTTTCAATCACATTTGGAGAAAACTCTCGTACATCAATGTTTATCTTAACGTTTTAAATAATTTGTTTGTTTAGAGCTACTCTTCCACTTGGGGAGTCTTCGAGTGATTGCGAAGTCCATTGTCCATATTATAATGTATCTGGTATGTAAATTTATATTGCACGTAAGGTTTTTGAACACATTGAATGCCGGACGAATTTTTCATGTCTTAAACGCTGAAATAAAATTTCTATTTGGTATATGACAGTAGTATCAGAATGCTGTTATTGTTAACAAGTTTCATCCTTCAGAAGAATAAAGAGTCACCGGTGACCCTCACGACATAGGGGAATACGTAATATTTACTTGATTTAAGTGCTTCTATCAATTCCGATGTCGCCGGTCACTGATGACCCTTACAAAACTAGTTGGGTGCCGGTCATCGGTGACTCTCATGGCATTCAACGTGTTAAATTCTCACGTTTGTAGTTTGCACATTGTTTTCTTTAAATCCACATATAGAAATAGTAATGTGAAGAATATTTTTATGCGCAGGGTCTCAAGCAAGTCCTAGACGTCATAGCTCTGTAGACGAATTATATGGTTTAGTCAATAGTTCACAGTCTTTAACAACTGTGAATGGGCAACGACAACGATCATTATCAGATAGCGGTCCGAGGGATGAATCCGCACAATCGAATGGTATGTTAGCAAAAACGTATATTATAAATCTAGAATTTACTCAGCAAATATATTTGCCTATTGTAGTTATAACTTTATAACATTTCTTTCATTATTTTTTTAGGTGACAATGAGGTATCAACTGAACGAAATAGAGAAAATATGAGTCCCGACTTATTGTCAGACACGCCGCCCGTACCTCCAAGGAGAAGGGATCGTAAAAGACACACGCCACCAAGACCTATAAGTAACGGATTGCCTCCTACGCCGAAAGTGCACATGGGAGCATGTTTTTCAAAAGTTAGTTTACATTCTGTGTTGGTTTACTAAACACTATTGTGTTGAAATCTTATTGCTTTATTGATTTCTAAACTCTGTTACTAAAGATTTATTTGTTATTTTTTTTTTTTTTTTTATTACATTATAGGTATTCAACGGTTGTCCACTAAGGATACACTGTACTGCGAGCTGGATCCATCCAGACACAAGAGATCAGCACTTGCTGATTGCAGCTGAAGAAGGGATTTATAATTTGAATCTAAACGAACTCCACGAAACTGCGATAGACCAGTTATATCCAAGACGTACTATCTGGATGTACGTTATCAAGGATGTTCTTATGTCTCTTTCCGGTAAGTTATTCTTTTATTATTATTTATGCTGATCGATTAATTTATACTCTTTTAATATTGAAAATCATACATACCGTAGGAAAAACGCCTCAATTATATAGGCATGACTTATTAGCGATGTTAAGTAAACAGACTCATAGGTTTTCATTGCATATGAACAAAATACCAGAGAGATTAGTTCCAAGAAAATTTGCTCTTACTACGAAAGTGCCGGACACGAAAGGATGTACCAAGTGTTGTGTTGCAAGAAACCCATATAATGGGTAAGTTGACATTTAATATTTATTTAATTTAGCATCTTTTAATTTGTTAAAGAAAAAACTTTATATAAACAAAGGTATGATATTTCTAATTTATTATTATTTAACGTAGGTATAAATATCTATGCGGTGCAATGCCGGCAGGTATATTCCTAATGCAATGGTATGATCCATTAAATAAATTTATGCTTTTAAAACATTTTGAGTGCACTTTGCCATCACCTCTGAATGTTTTTAAAATGATTATCACGCCTGAGATGGAATATCCAATGGTATGTGTGTCAGTTAAACAGCCATACCAACAAAATAAATTAAAACTTGACTTAATTAATATGAATTCGGGAGCGAGTTGGTTCCACAGTGATGAATTAGAAGATATAGATGGCTCAGGTATCATTATATTATATCTGTATGTGTGTGCTTACGTTTGCCTGATAATAAGTTACTTGTCCTGCAGAATGTAAACATAAGAATCTGTTTATCTGTTTATATGTTTTTGCAGCGACTGTGATTCCAAGAAGAGAGAATTTAAACGTTATTAACGTAACGCAATTCGAAAAAGACGCAATACTCGTTTGTTACGATAGTGAGTGTTATAATGGATAATAAATTAGCAGTAAGTACGACTTATACTGAGCACGACACTATACAACAAATATTTGCATTTTACAGATGTAGTAAAAATGGTGACTTTACAAGGAAAACCTCGTATCAGTAAAAAACAGCTGTCAGAGCTGAATTTTAATTTTCAAATCGAGTCTATCAGTAAGTGCGAATTGCGTCATGCATGTGTAAGCCACAGCAAAATCTTAGATAAATAAAAATGTTGTTTCTTTCCAGTTTGTCTACCAGATAGTGTGCTTGCATTCCATAAGCACGGTATGCAAGGTAGAAGTTTCAAAAATGGCGAGGTTACACAAGAAATTAGTGATCCAAGCAGGACTTATAGAGTTCTTGGCTCGGATAAGTATGTATCTGATATTTGTCCAAAATTTGAAGTTTTTTATTTATATTCAATGAAGAATAATTAAAACATTGCTAACGAATATAGGGTTGTGATGTTGGAGAGTCATCTAGTTCACAGTGGTACACTGACTGAATCGGAAGGAGCGGATTTGTATATTCTCGCTGGACACGAGGCCAGCTATTAAGTGTTAATTTAAAATAACCAGCCTACGTATGTGCTGCGTTATCATCTCACACGAGATTGATGATTTGTGATTGAACTATGTATATGTAACATAAAACGACTACGAGATCGGAAATTACAATGTACAGAGAGGTAAAAAAAAAAGAACTTTATTAATCAATTATTTCACACACTATATAAATAAGTGGCTGATTATCGGCGCACTGCTATTACTGTAATTTAAGTGTTGCAATAATTGTTGCTATCTTCATATAGGTCGATGTCGTGTAAACTAATAGTTGCGATAAATTTTTTTTACTGAGAGCAGGTTTAGAGTTAGTCCAGGTTTTTTTTAGATTATATATCGGTAAAATCATAATTTGAAAATAAAATAACAATAATAAATAAAATAAATACTATTTATTTAATAATAAATAAAATCATAATTTGAAAAAAGAAATACAGAAATTAAAAAAGATACACTTGAAAAAGCGAGTATGTACACTCAACAATTGTCCTTATGTCTAATTAAATAAAACGCTAACAATTAGCCGAAATGCTTCAAGAATTATAAGATAAAAATTATTTACTATTTCATTTAGATATATATACATAAATATATATAAATTAATTATTCTCGATATAAATCACGTATAAGAAATTCTAAAAATAATGAGATTTAACTCATCGAGCTCATTTTATTAGCGTGTCAAAATAAAATTGCAATAATATTTTTTCCACATTCAAATACCAATATAAATCATAAATAAGATAAATTTAATTTTTTGAACGACACCTCAAATATTGATAGTTTCGTTTTTTAATGTTTTATTTAATATATAAAAAGCTTGTACAAGGACATACCTAAAATCTATTTTTCTCGCGGATGATATGACATGTAGTTTTATTAGTTTAGAGAAAAAGCATATATTTTAATATAAAATGTTGTGGTATTGCGTTTATTTCCATCGATAATAAAGCTCTTACACTGCTATGTTAAATTATGCACGTTTTGCACTTTTTTTAATTTTTTTTTTTTAGCGCATTATATTCTATAGCTTTTATCGTTTGAAAATCGTTTAACCATAATAAGATTTACTAAAATAAATTTATGTATCTGTATCTGAATACATAGGTGTTTATATAAAATTATAGATGCTATTTACATTTTTGAGGATTGTACATATAGTTTTCAAAAATTAAAATCTACCATCTTCAGAGAGAATATTCGAATAGATTTATAAAAGAAATTAAAATCTTTATTAATGAAATATATAATGAAATTGATACGCAAAATTTATGACATTAATCGGAGTTATAATTTATAGGTATAAGAATTGTTGTCTTCAATTTAAGAGTACGTCACTTTTTGCAGTCTCTTTCCTTTCTAAACATTAATTATCTTTGCATGAATAAATAGAATCATGAGAACAGTAAACAAGGAATATACAATACATAGGTGTAGGTAGATTTTATTTATTTTATTCTAATTGTCATAAGCTCTATTTATGCGAAAAGCTTCACTTTTCCTTAGTTGTGACTAATCCCACACGGAACAACATTCTATGTAAAACTCTTTTAATTGTTTATTAGACGTCACATGGACGTTGTGGGAAAAGGTAAAATATAATCTGTGTGGGAAAGGTAAAATATAATCCCAGAAAATTGGTCGAAGAGAGATTCCGAATTAGTAAATAAGCTTGTCCTCAGATGTGATCAGATAGAAATGTGACACATTGTATATTTTTTCCCAAAGATAATAGATTGTAGAAAAAATGACAACGATGTGTAGAAAGAAAGTAGCTTACTAATTGATATAGAACATGTTTAGGAACATTTCTGAAAACTTGTCATACAGAAAAAAATCGATTTTTCTGTATAGAGATTATATGATAATATCGTGCAATATATCATGTGTATGTGTGAATATTTGCGTGAGCGCATGGGCACGCACACACGCGATATGCGCACAGTACAAAATTTGCTTGTACATACACCAATATCATTATTTTTAATGATGTAGAGGAAATGTGCCTATATTGGACCATTTGAGGAGTTTTCGCTCTATAAATCCTGAAAATTTAAAATATATATTATTGAATTAGATTGTAAAATATGATAATTGTTTTGAAAAAAAACATAAGATTATGTTTTATATGACATAAGATTGTTTTAAATAACATATAGTAAAAAAATTAATTTTTTTACTTGTGTTAAACATGACTTACAAGAATGTGTTATGCCTAAATTGGACCATTATTTGAACATTTATATGGTAACAAACTAATTCTGAAGATTTCATACTACGTTATCATACTACGTTATGAGAAGCAATTGTGATTTAAGTTTTTTTTTGAAGTTTGTTTATATTTTAAGACATAGGTTCAATTTAAGCGCAGGTCCAATTTAGGTACATCTATCCTATATATATATATATACATTATATATAAACTTGAAGCATACAAGCGCGTTATTTCGTTTAACATAGAATTACCGAAAAAAGTTTTCTTTTATTATTAGATATTTGGTGTTTATCGGTGTCTTTCTCTCTTTCTTTCTCTCTTTATCTTTGTCTCTGTTTTTCTCTCTATCTCTGTCTATTTATCTATCTATCATTAACTATCTTCTTTCGTAAATCAATTACATATGCAATATAATATATATTAAAGACACGAACATGAAGACACGCATATTTGTTACTCTACGATCAACGTTTCTTTACGTTAAAACTTTTTTTTATAAGTAACAATATTATACCAGTATATAAAGCGATAATTGGAATGACTTTACTAAGATTGTTGTTAAGACTGAGAGAAATGCATTTTCTCGCACGCGTGCACACACACAAACACACACACACACACACACAAAATAGTTATAATAAATATAATTTTTCTTATTGTTATACATTAGAAAGAAAAATTATTAAGTAGTTTACACATGAATGATTTATTAGTAGTTAGATATAAAGTTAGATATAAAGAAAACATTGATTAATTCTTAATATTTGCGCTCTTCCTCTCTCACAAAACTTTTAATTCAATGCGACTGACCATTTGTGTGTTAATTCATTCAATTTTATTTTAGATATAAAAAAGATTTTTTTTAATATATGAGTCTAATAATCTTCTTGAATATTTGTTGTTTATAGTAGTCGATCCATTTATACTCGATATATATAGATTAATAATAAATATTTAAAAACATTCCTTTTTTAATAAACACACATGTAAATTGAGTCAACTTTGATTTAAATGTAACGAGTTATTTATTACAGTTGCATAACTTTAATACTTACTAGTGAATAAATGTCAAAAGATTGTTTGTTTGGTTTAATATTTATAAAGCCACTATGTTCTATTGTATATTTTTAGCATAATAAACTTGACTTGGATTTTCTTCTTTTAGAAGAATATGATCTATTTAAATGCACAAGAAATTATTCAATACTATTTAACTAATTTTAATAACGTCATTTAGGGCAGCAAGTAGCGTAATTCAAAAATGTACTTTGCGTAAAGAAGCCTCACAATTTGTTTAGTTATATGATGTAAGAAGAAAACTTTTTAGGAAATTGTTCGTGTAAGAAACACATGATAGAAATGGACACTTTAATTACTTTGGACTAATTTACATACACACACGGCATATATACAGTATAATTGTAAAGATATCTGATACTTTCTTGTTTGCTGTCGACATATTGAGACGTTACAAGTCAAAATTTGTTATTTCTAATTTTTATCGAAATCGTTACGAAAACGTAAACCGAATTGTAAAAGATGTCAGAGTAAAAGTTAAATTATCTGCGAAATGTTGAGATATTTTGATATTTTATATAAACTTTTGCTCTGTATATAAATATATAAAGAAAATAGAAAATATTGAAGAAAGTATTATATATGTACATGTTTGTTATTAAAGTTTAGTATACTAAAAACTACAGACATCGGCGAATTATTATTTCTGTGAAAATATTATTAAAAAAATACACAATATTTTCTGTTAAACGCAATAACGCATAATATAATATTCTTATATATACACACAAACATACTCAGATAAACGTGTCATCTTATATTCAATATTCTGGAATTTTTAATTATGTATCACATAACATTGTTCAAAGTCAGAAGAATGTGATAGTTATTTTTCAATTTCTTTTTTTAAATAATTTAATTTGCTGACAAATTATTTATATTTGTTTGTGGTAAATTATTACAATAAGTAAATACTATAAAAATATCTCAAAAGTATATTTAAAACTGGAAACTTCTTTTATTTGTAACAAATAACTTCGACATTTAAACAATACGACACATTTGCAAGACATTTTAATAATAGCAACATACAAGTAGTAACTGCGATGTTACCTGATGTAAATTTTTCTATTATTGCGAAGACAATAATTTTATTCGAAGCGTCGCTTACACAAATTAAAAAAGAAAAATAGACATGTAAGAATATGAGAAATATATACATACATAGATATGTATATTATAAATATTCAAATTTACATAAAACAGATTAATTAGCTCGAATTTAAAAACTGCTTAAAAGAAGTGACTAAAAAGTAAAAAACTTATTAAAAGAAATCCGAGATTTTAACAATGCAACACATACAAAGCAGTAGAAAAATCAGGAAAATTAGAATAAATTTATATTATATATACACATATATATTTCACATATCCATGTTCTGCTCGCAACGTTTAAAATAGACTTTTAGTCTTTGATTCTTACAAGAAAAAACTAATGCACAATTAATGCATAAAATGTACCTGTATACATTGACCATATTGATAGCTTGCCTCTACATTCAAAATGTTTATCAAACTTTCAAGTTTGTTTATTTAAAGCTTCAAAAGACTAATAAGAAAATATGTAGTTAATAATCAATTTATTTTTAGCATTAAAATATAAACTTATTGTTATATCTCTTTATATTTTCTTTCTATATATTATGATATTTTTTTAGTATCACGAAATATAATTAAGTCACAATGAATAAGTCAAGGGACGTAAGTAGATTAAGCACACGGGACTTTTATTTCATTAAAAACATTTACTATGGAGATTACATATTTAATGATATATATATATATATATTTGTTATATAGGTTTTTTTTGCAGAGATTACGAAATATTTTTGAGAGGCAAATTCGTAACTTATGTAAGAGATAGATAAGGATGTGTGATCGTGCAAGCGTGCGTGCACGTATGTAGTAAACTACAGACGACAAATACACAAAAATTCTTTGACGTCTTTCTTGAAAATTCATAGATACTTTTAGCAATACTCAAGCAAAACAATAGAATTTCAAAAATTTTATTAGTCATCTGATACTGAAACTACAAATTGCTACAGAGATGTATTAATGTTTATTAACTAAAGTCGTAATGACAATTAGTTAACAGAAAACGAATAAAAAATTATTCTTACAACAAGAAAGTAGACAAGCCAGCAAGAAAGATATATATGTTATTCCATATAGAGATATTTAGAAATATAAGAAAAGCTCTGCTAGATAATATTATCTGTAAATGTTACAATCAACACTTACATATTTATTTAAGTAGTAATGCTTTTCTCTCCAAAATCGATAAAACTAGCAAAACTATGTTATAAAAGAGAGTATAAGATTATGATAAATATGTATAGATTTATTCATACTTTTACTAAATGTGCATAACATATACACATACACACACACATACACATACACACTTATCGGTAAATGTATGAATTCTATGCGCTTTTACTGTAACATATATAAATATTAATTGAAACTATAGCATTACTAGCGAAGTTTGTAATTAAGCAAGTTGTATATAGTGTGTGTATTATAATTTTTACGTTTGCCGATTTTCGTTTTAGTCATTTTATATAGTATAATATAGTATACGTATACAAAAATAATTTATATGATTGTATAAACTTACTTGATTTACTTGTATCTGTAAAAACAACTAGGCAAATTTCTGTATGTAAATAGAAAACCTCATAATAAAGTCTAAAAGAAAAAATGCAGATATACGCAGTGATACAAAATACATTAATTATATTTTATAGTTTGTATGTAAATAATACTTACCGAAATACTTGTTGTGCTTCAAGTACGTCAGTCCAAGAGTGATCAGAGACAGACAGATAGAAAATTTAATTCAGGCAACAGGTTTTGAGAAATGTCTTTATATAAATTGTATTACATGTGAAAAAAATTGAAGTTATTTTCAATGTAAATATTTTAATTAAATTTGATTTTATTATTTCTATAACAATATCAAAAAGAGAATGCTTTACTATATACATCAACAAATTTATATAGGTAAATATTAAGTAAAAACATGGCATACTTATTTCTGTAAATTATACAAGACACGCCTTTTATCATCTCAAATATAAAATTTATTATTGCTATAATAACATATAATGTTACATAAAACGTTAACACGTTTCGTGCTCTGTAGGTTTCGTGCTCTGTAGGTTGTAGATACGAGGTAATGTGTGTTGTCAAAACAAATCTCATAAACATCACACAGAGTATTTGTATGTATGAATGTGTTTCAGTAAACTCTGAACAAAATCATCGTGAAAAGACACGGAACGTGTTAATGTTTCTTCAAGTACGTGTAAAAATAAATGCCGCTGTGCTATTTTTCTTTTTCTCCAAGAGAGGAATTTACTTACTTTTCTCTCTTTTTCTGTGTTAAGTAGAGCAATGTAAGGAGGGATGTAATCTGACGATGAGCGGATCAGAAAACGTATGTATGTATCTGCCAAATGTGTGTATAACTTGATACCGACTACTAAGTTTTGATGTTATCTTGGTAGAGAAAATTCGTTGCGCGAAAAAATATCTATGCTACCAAGGTTCTCAAAACCGAGTCACGTTTCAATGTGACCTTGCAATTGACCTACCATTTTCCGTACCCATCCCGCTTGACTTTGTCCCGCAGAAATATCGTCTGTATCTATATAGGCACTCGAAACATCTTGCGGCTGATGAGATACATTAACTACCGATAATCTCGCGGTAATTTTAACTTCCGAATCATTGGCTACGTAGTCTTTTGCTAATACCGATTTTATTTTCAAGTAATCTGGCTTCTGTGCGATACTCGGCTTGTGTCTTGTTGACGTCGAAGATGTTTCTTGCTTCCTTTTTAAAGGTATCGGTGGTGTTACTTTTATCTTCACTGCTGTCTCAGGTGTTATTGTCGACTTCATCGTCGTCGTCGTTGTCGTCGTCGACGTCGTTATTGTTGTCACTGCTGGTTGTTGCTGATTTTGCATCATGAATATCTCGTCAACGTCGCTAAATATCGCACTATCTCGAAACGCTTCATCGACGTCAGTATCTGCGTAATTCTCGATAACTTCAAAGCTCTTTTCGTAGAAACTGTCAGTCTCACTGTCGCGATGCTCCGTGTCCTTACTACTCGTCTCTTCTTCATCCGCACGATTTTTTTCTTCTGATTCGTCAGTCTTTTTAAACCGAATAACTTCAACTGCCGAGAACTGAGCGCGTTTGTTCTCGGCAAAGAGAATAGTCGGATCAGCGTAATCGGACTGGGCGATTCTTGCTCCTAGATTAGAACTACCTTGCTTGTAACAGAGTTGAGGAATCCACTGATTGTTGGTTACAACATCGGCGGTTGTACAACCTATCAGTTCTTCCACATTCGAAGATAATTCTTTCGCGCATCGCTTTGCTTGTTTAGTTCGTCTTTTTGAACACTTACCTCCGGTATTCAAGGGACGAAAGTAACGCTTACGTTCGAGTTCGTCGTTGCATTCAAGCGTCTCCGTGCTCATGGTATTCTTTAAACGACCTTGTAAGTGATTGCCAGCCTTGAAAAGAACGCTCCGAAGTAGATTGTTGCTGCCATTATCGCTTGCTCGATAGATTTTATGATCCGGATGGATATTTGTACCAGTAACGGACATGCGCACATTATTGGAGTAAGCACGGTCGTCGGTTAATCGTGTATCTTCCAGCGAAAAGAAGATCGACGAGCTGGAACTCAACGAAGTGGCAGGCATGGGAAACTTGGCAACTCTATCCTCAGGCTGACACGTGGACGCGTACCTTTCCATATCTTCAAGATTGATCTCCGCCGGTTTGTCAGACGCAATCGTGAATGGTCGTTCGCTCATTGGCTTGCCGTCTCGCTGCAAGAAGCGCGACTTTGTCACACTCGGCTGAGAATTCGGACTTATTTGAAAGCTGCGTGGCAGCGAACCGCACTTGGGTGGTGAGGTAGGCATGTCGTCGCATAGTTTGGTGAGCCAGACAGCAGGCCGAGTCGGACTGTCGTTGTTATCGATGTAATTTACCGTTTGCAGTTCTTCCCAGACACGCTGCAGATTGTCGTAATTGCCGAAGCTCTTGGATTCGGCATCACTTACGTCGTTTATTTCGTCATTTTGTCGTTTTAACACGTCCTTTTCTATCTGTTTTGCCGGCACGATAGAATTTATTTCATTTTGTTTCGCCATTCGATAAGTGGGTTCGCATATTGTCGATGAAAAATCTGTCTCGTTATCGGGCGACGTCGTGTTCTCGCGAATACGCAGTGCTGTTTTGATTATCTTGCTTTCGGTGACAATATTCTGTCGTTTGAACGTCTCAAAAAGCACTCGTTTTTCGCGCACGTTACTTGTCTTGCCATTCCGCGCAATCGTCTCTATCGAGTTCTGAGTACTTTTCAGATTGTCGCAAACTGGTAACGACTGTTGACTTTTCTGCGCCGGTTTTGAAGACAACGAATCCCACGAGTTGTTCAACTTGATCAGACGCTGCTCCCGCATCGCTCGAGAGCGTCCTAGTCTATTGGGATTACTGATGTAATTAACGTTTTCTGAATCACTCTCATCTGACACATCTATCGAATTACGTCTATTAAAGCGTTGCTGGCGTGCGCTGATGATATTACTGGTCCGTTGCTTATCGAGCAATTTTTGAAATTCTTGATTTTGCATCAGAATGTGACCGACAATCTCTTCTACTGTTTGCTTCGTGGTGGTATCGGTGTTATTGTCTTCGATCGGTGACGAATCCAATTTTGTTGTCGTCTGGTTCTCCGTCTCGGTATGAGTCTCGATGGTTTCTTCGGTTTCGGTTGTAGACTGAACATCACCAACAGGATCTTCTTTCTGTTCCTCGTCCGAGTAATTAAGACATATGTACGACTGGAAGCCTGGTTCTGATTTTCTCCTCCATCCGGTAAAGCGATCCTAAATATATTCGACGTACGATATTAAAAATTTTTTCTACTTTTCTTGAAAACACGTTGCGATAAATATCTCACCTTAACTTTTGAGACGCGTACGTCCGAAGATCTATTAAAAGATTGTTCTCTGGAGTCGTTAGTACCGGCGTCTTCGTTGTCAGTTTTACGCGAGGACGTAGGCGATACCTAGTGACATGTCAAATCAAACTTCGATCAAATATATAAGCTCAATACAAATAAGAAGAGTTTGAGGGGTGAGCAGCCAAACCGCTCACATGCGCATGAAAAGAGGGAGGAGAAGTAATTGCCCACGGGCAGTCACTCCCTCTTTTTGTGCTGAAGGACCATCGAAGGGTTTTAGCGAGTGGGAGTTCCCTTTGTCCTCCCCCGGGGACAGAAGGGTGCATAAGGCATTTCCCTTGTTACAAAAAAAAAAATAAAAATACAGGTGAGTAAGAGAAAAAGAAAATACTTTACCTCCATAGTAGTATCGGATTTCCTAACACCCTTCTTGAACTTTTGCCTAAGACCAATTTCGGATCTACGTCTTTCTTTTTCCTGTTTACGCCTCTCTAAATATTCTGGCGGGGCAGAATGTTTTTTCGCCGATCCTTTGTCTGTTAACGCATCGTCTGCAAGTCATTTGTTGTTTGTTTTATTCGTATAAAAAAAAAAGTCGAAATCACATTAATAGCAATCGCTATTTTTTATACCTTCTTGTTGCGTTTGACCCAATTGTAATACTAGTTTTCTCGCATGCGACGGTATAACTGCATTGTAATTCTCTAACATTACCCTTTTTATCTGTAAAGTCCATTCTCTCTTCTGCTCTAAATTGCGTGCCTGGAAAACAAATGGTCGACTGTGTTAAATGAAAATATGATCATCCTTGGGAGTATATTTAAAAAATCCTATTGCGCAATTAATATAATGATGATTCTTACTTGCAATGTGCACTGCAATCGAGGATTGTCGAAAGGTATTACATGAAAACTAAGCGGTTCGCCTGGGATACTTTCAACTAGCATTAAGTTTGAACACTGAAACATGTGAGAAATATTTTATAAATTCTAAGATACGAGTGTGCGTGTGTGTCTATGTGTGTGCGCGCACGCGCCCGCAATTAAATTTTTATGACAAAAATCGGATAAAAAAAAGAAAAAAGAAAGTACCATAATATGAGCTTTATAGACAAGAAGACCGTCTTCTTTTTTCTTAGTCAGTAAGAGCATTCGATCGAAAAGAAAAGCATGCCTCGGAGCCTTGGCTCCTCGCATTCGGAATCGACCTTCTGCAATCAACTCTCCGCTTGTTGTTAGATCTGGCCCCGGCCAACCATAGAGCAGCGATTGAATTTCTTGAACGCGTACAGCGTGTTCGTGTCGTTTTTTCATTGCGTTGATATGTTTCGCTATACCAGTCATCGCAGTAAGTGCAGCCTCGATGGCACTTATGCCTTCAGTCTCATTTTCTTTAGAATCACAATCGGCGCCGTACTCTTTCGACAAATTCTCCAGAAGTAGATGATACTTGAGAATTCTCTGAACAGGTTTCAAAAGAAACGATCCGAGAGGCAAATCGTGGCCAAGAGCCGCTTGTCGTTCACGAAAAGCGGACGCGGTTTCCTCATTGCCCATTAAATCTGTCAGAACTGAGACTGTTCTCGGATAATTGGTACAGTATTCGGTGTAAACTTTAAATCCCGAATTGTGCTTGATAAACGTATTCGCCACGCAAACAGGATCCAAACCGCATTTTTCTATTTCACTCAAAAATTCTCTATTAAATTCGAAAATATCCTCGATATTGCTGAACAAGTCACCGAGACGTAATTGATGCGCGAACGACGGCGGATCGTCTCTCCAGAATGTTAGATAACCCTGAATAACTTGACGCAAGTGTTCGACGTATATCGCTTCCGTGTCCACTATTTCCAGGAGTACCCTTTCGACGGGATTACGGTGAGGATCGTAATAGCGTGGTCTATGGCACAAGGGATCCTCCTCCGCACTGTCCCTTCTCTTACCATTTTCGTTCAATATTCGACAGCTAGCTTCAGAAACTGTTACGACTCCGCTGTCCGCAGAGCCTTGAGAGCTGGCACATGTATCAGCGAGGGATTCGACCGATGTCAGATAGGGATTGACGGTACAGGTATTACCCTGATTGCTACAACCACTGGAAGACGTGCTGGACGCGATCGAGCTACTGGACAGCGGTCTGCCATTTCTACCGCGTCGCCTGTTGTATCTAAATGGTGTGAGACCGCTGTTCTCCCGCCTTTCGTAGGTCGGTTTCTCGACAGGTTCTACTTTATTTTCGTCCTCTACTGACACCGCGGTTCTTTCCTCCTGCGTGTTACTTTCCATCTTGCCGTATCCGTCTTCTTCTTCTCGCTCCTTGTCTTTCGAACTGTCCTGCTGCGAAGCTAGATCGCTGGTGCAGAGCTGATTGAATATCGAATTGCGATGGGTGGTCGGCACCAGGCTGAGACGTTTCTGTAGTGCTGCAGGTATGTTACAGGACGACGATAACACCACGCCGTCGCAGCCATTTTCGCCGCGGCGAGCCAACTCGTCGAACATGCCCAACAACTGCGGCATCAGATCCGTGCTGGTACCTGTCAAAAAAAAAAAATTTCTGTGTTTGTCTCAAGAATTGATTAAATCGATATTTCCGATCATCTGGCTTCTGTATCAATAGCCTATCGCAAATTATTATGTAGAAGAGAAAAGGTGTTATTTGAACACACATGTCAAGAGATGATATTTCGCTGCCTGATTACTTCGCGGCTGGCACGGAGTTACGAAAATAGCAACCACACACGAGGAGAAGGAAGAACGTTTGAATCGCGTTCATTGACAGAACTCTGCACACACTCGCTTTTACGCGTCTCACGTTCATTGACTCGCGTAGATTCATTGAGGAAGGAAAATTGTGAATTTTGAAATACCAAATTGAAATTACAAACACACGAACGCGCGCGTGCGTCTCTCTCTCTCTCTCTCTCTCTCTCTCTCTCTCTCGAAATATCACACACACACACCTACAAATTCTAGCCGTGTGTCGCAATAGTGTTTCTATGTCCCGATACCTAATACGACAAAAACGCGCGCGCGCGTGAGCACGTACCGTTTCTTAAGTATTTCTTCCGTACGATAAGAAGATTGAGAAACATCTGCGCGTTATCGAAGGCTCGAAACAATAGCGTTGCCGTTAGCTGGCTGATATCCAAAGTTCAAGAAGAAAGCAAAAAAAAAAAAAAAAAAAAAATTACACGGGTAATTCGCCGAATCGAATTTCGGATTCTCCTCTCGTTCTGGAAATCAATCACTCGAAAGAAGAGTTTTGCTTGGAAAAGCGCGATGCGCTCACAGAACGCGCTGCCAGAAAAGGGGAAGAGCGCGCGGTGTTATGCGCTTCACGTAGCCCCGACCAAGTGCGCGCGCCAAGAGCCCGCAATAAGCTACCGCGCGCAGCTACTCTCCGGAATTCCAGAGTGTTTTCCTTTTGCGGGACTGTTATCTGTTTCCAGAAGCGCGCTCGGAAACACGTTAGCATGTCGCGAAGTCGCGATGTTTTTCGCTCGAGATGGAAAAGGAAATTATCGCGTCTCTCTTTCTCGAAGGAACGACGAAACTATCAAAACTATTATCGACATCTCTATCAGATGTCCAACGTGTTGCTATTTCAAGAGAGATCATCATAACGAGATCATAACAACAATGACTATCTTTGGCAAGTAGTTTTGCAAATTGTGTGTAGGTGCGCGCTGCTGCATTACACGATGAAAATATGATTGACCTAACATAAGATCAAACATCGTTCGTTAAGATAGCATTTGATTTGAGATAACAGAGAGAGATAGATATTATCGTGGGAACCTACTTTTGATGAAAAAGAATTGAGAAATTAAATCGAAGATAACGGACAAAATAAAATCGCGTTTGCTCACAATAATTCTTTTTTTTTTTCTTCCCCCATCTGCCGCTCTTTGTTCTTTTTTATTTATCGAGAATATAATAATTTTTTTTTTTAATTTTTTCGATCAAACAGATTTTTACACGGTTCAAGCATTCATGTGCGAACAATAGCAACTTACGTGTTTCACTTTCACCCTTTAAACGATATCACTTCGCCTTCGTTCGCCGCTACTTTACGTTCGCGTGTGTCACACATGTCGTCTCGGACATTTACGTGCTTTTTTGTCAATTATTCAAAAAAAAAAAAAACCGCGATTGATTCGCACACACTGAATTAAAAAATCACCTCTGATTATCGCACGACACATCGATTAACTCGTCATTATTCGAGAATCACTCTCTTTACATATAACTCCGAGTTCAGTTACAAGTACTTACTTAAAATCACACGCGAGATATATGACGCGCGCGATACACGTATAATAACGATACGTTTAAAGAAATATCTTCCAATTTTTCGCGCACGCAACAAGACAATTAATCGCGTTTAGCTGCGCCTGTCTGTTGCAATTACAATTGCAATTCGGAATACAATACGCAAAAGTGTGCTCTAATAATGATAACGCAAAATGCATAGACAAAAAATGTGTTGCGTATGGTGAAAAGTATGCGCGATAAATCACCGGACCACCGCCACGTATCGTAGACGACAAGAGCGCGAAGTCTTTGTCGCTCGAGTAACAGGTAGACACTAGTCGGCGAGAGGCGGCCGAGAATGAGAATAGAGCGGTGCCACTCGGATGGTCTTGGATCGAAATACCGAAGAGCGGCCGTTAGGTCAGCGGTCTCCACACCGGAGCTCTCTGTCGAAGTGATGCGCGACCCGTCGCCTCGGGGTTCCGACCCGGTACAAGCTTATCGTACATTCCTATTGTGCCGTTTTTTTTTTTTTTTTTTTTTTTTCGTTCCTTACCGCGTCAATTTCGAATCGCGCGTCGAACAAAACCAATGTTACACTTTTTTCCACACTGTGTACAATTTTTTTTTTTTATCTAATGACTATAATAGAAAATTTTAGTATCGGTTTTAAATAAAACCAAGAGACAAAACGCGTCAACACAAGTGTTGTGAACAAAACTCTACCTGTTTTTTTTTCGTAATGTGTGAATGCCGCTGCAGATCGTGCAAGAACAAAGGTGGGGATTCAATCGTCGCAATGAATTATATCGAGCTAGTCACCGAGAATGACTCACTGAGAGCGCGTTCTATTCCCCGTCGCCGCGTTGCCAGATAGAAGTTCTCTCGCTACTTCCTCCGTTCCGTACGGAGGAATTTTGATTTCGGACGAAAGGAGGAAATAAATAACCACGAACCTCTCAGGTGCCGCGTCGCGAGCGGAAAGAGCGACCGTGAATTATATGAATCATCGAAATACCTTATATCGGAGCGTGTCGTCCCGTTCCCATTACGATCGCTACCCAATTTACTGTGAACAATATCTAGAATCCAACCGCGATATTGACTCACAGGAAGCGCAGAAATGTGTCTTACACGGGCGAACGAGAGAGCGTTCGATTCCGTTTTTTTTTTTTTTTTCATTTGTCAAGCACACCGAGCTTGCAATTGTCCCCGCGCGCGGAGATACGCGTTTAGAAAATTTCATATCCCATATCTAAAGATTATGTTGAGACTAAAAACATGCGTGGAGAATAAATTTCTAACATACAGAGCTCTTATAATCTGTGATATCTTATGTTATGCGCTTTTCTCCTTTTACCGTGGCACTTCTCGATAAGGGGAATTATATATTTAAACCGACGACATGTAACGTCACCGCGGTGATTTTATCGCGATTTATTCGTGTTCGCGGAATGCGACATCGTAATTGCATCACGGAAGATTGCGCGCGTTCGCGGCTCTCTTTCTCTCGCACGCGAACCACTCGAAGGAGATATATACGTATATATATACACGTGTACTACAAATATATTGCAGAAGAAAAGTAGAGAGAAGTGTCGGTGAAAATTCGGTAAATTATATCGAATGAGCATCGCGATTGCGATCTGTATCATAACGCGAGGAGGATGTATCGATTATAAAATTCGCAACACACCGACGTTCTTTTCCTCATCGAAAGGATATTGCTGGCGCCACAGCGCGCGGTTTCCTTTTCCCGCATCGGAAAACTTTCTCGAGATGCAACGATCTCGATCGCTCGCTCGCTCGCTCGCTCGCTCGGCGGTATGTATAACGTATTCGCAGAAAGTCTATATATAGCGGCGCCGCTAGTACGCGGCCAAGTAATGCGGCGACCAAGCCGGGAGCCGTTCGTAAGTAATTGCGAAGCATAAAATCCGGTTCGCGGCACAGCATTGCGCCAATATACGTTATTATCGATGACTGATTGAAAACCAACCGGATGGAAGCTTTCATAAGTGCGCACTGTAACGTGTCGCGTCTTTTTTTGTTTTTTTTTTCCCATGCAGACGGATATCGGATCTGCACGTATCCTGCAAGCGCGTATCGATGACCGGACTCTGTTGTCGGAATCTTGTCTCGCCTAGCTATTCAATAAAAAAAAAAAAAAAAAAAAAAAAAAAAGCAATTTGCATTTGTCAACTCACTGAATTAGCGTGACGAATGTACTTTTTCTCGAATCACACGCACAAAAGATGAGAAAAAACATTACGACACAATAATTGCAAAATCGAGGATGTTGATTCGTTTATATTACACTGACTCGATTCACATATCGATTTTATTTGTCATTCTCTTTTGGTGGCTGCTTGATCGTATTGGAAATATTTCAGAGTAATTAACATTACGTAAGGAGAGAGCTACGTTGCATACGTGTATACATATTATTTGTTTGATTGCAAAACAGATTTTAGATATAGAATCTTATGTTAAAAAATATATAGCAAAGAGACAAAAGTTTATTCGTGCTCTTCCACCAGTTTGTTGTTTGGAACAAAAGAAATTTTTACAATTGTTCTGAGGAAAAGCCCCGCGTTAATTTTTTTTAACACCGTTAAAATCTCTAATCATCTCTCCGTACAACTTATGTTGCACATTTCAATTCTCGAGGAAAGGCAGTTTCCAAGCCGCGCTAAAAATACACACACCGAACACAAAATCTTGATGATCCGAAACGGGGTCCACCCGTACCGTCGGTTATATACAGTGACCTCACCGCAATTTGATCGTCAATTAACCCTTGTATTATCAAGAGGAGTCTGTCTGGACTTCGTAGTGAGGTTTCATTCACACACACACACACACAATAAGTTTTTAGTATCGCACTCAAATGTCAAAATGTCAACTTTTTATCGCTTAAATAGAATCATGAGGTAAATTTTGTTACATCTATATGTATCGCGAAATAAGTGAAAAAAAAGAAGCTAATTAAAAAATTATAAACAAGCAAGTTGATAATGCGTTTTATCAACTTTAACAATTTTGATATATATTTTGATATATTCGACAACTTCATTTTGTGGCTAAAACGTTTCTGACGTAATTTTTGAATTTCCTAACTTTGATCGTATTATTTCGACTTTTCGGACTGCGTGATTAATCACCTACGGACATGATTAATTTGCGTTTGAGAGGAAAACATCTCGACCTGGAATACAGTCGAGATGTGTTTGTCTTAAAATAAATTATGATCAAGAATACGCCGAGAAAAGTTTTGTTTTTTAACATTCCACCAACCGCATTTGGTTATTCTGACCTATTTCTTTTTCTACACGCGACTGAATATATCTTATTTATTTTATTTGATAAATTTATATATTGCGGAAATCGCGCGACGCAAATGTATATAATTCAATGATCTGAACGTTGGACGCGCAACTCCGCCTCCCGGAAAATGGAGAATTCGCTACGTAATGCGACACATAGCGTGTGCGTCCGTAGAAAAAAAAAAAAAAAAAAAAAAAAAAGGTGCACGCGGAATAATGCGCGCTCGGTAGGAGATGGCGCCGCGTCGCCTTCTCTTAGTCTCGTCGCCGTCGCAATAGAATCGGCTTTTTTCTTATCGCGCTACATTTTTCTTCGGTTTATAATATACGCATGTCACATACATCGTTGTGGGAATAAAAAAACTGCTTAATCTTATGGAGTAAGAACCGTCTAAAACCGATTAATGTTTCACGTTTATTATATCTACATATGCTTTCGTATAGAATTATCTATAGCTATATGGCGCTTGTACTACTACAAGCAGCTATGTGCCTTGGTCTCGCGCGCGCGCGCGAGTATATTAGTATCTTCAAGTATACCTCGCGCCGCAAAAGGAAAGACAGAGAGAGAAAAAGAGAAGGATGGAAGAATATGAGTCTATGTATCGAGAGAGAGAGAGAGAGAGAGAGAGAAAGAGAGAGAGGAACGGCGAGAGATGAAGAAAGAAAGTCGGCTATGTCGGGCTCGACGATCGTTTTTCTCCGAGGAGCGGGCATGTACGGCGCCTCCGCATGCAGCTCGAGCGACCGGATCGGTCTCACTGCGCAATCTTAAATGCGGCATCAAGAGAATAAAAAACAAAAAAAAAAATAAATAAAATTTCAAAGGAACACTCTATATGCCGAGTTCGAAAATGCGACGCTTACGTTTGGGCGCAATTGAAAATCTCGATTACAACACACGTCTAGGCTGCCAAACAAATGGAAAAGTTTCAATTTTTTTTTTTTCACAAATTTGTTCCTTCGAAAGAAATTATTTTTTTGAGAATTTGTAGACGCACTTTGTATTGTTTTGTCGCATGATACGCGCGTACATAACTCCTCTTACCTACCGCGGCACTGCTTTCCAATTTTTGCGGTCGAATTCTCACGCATCTAATTTCACACGCGGTGTCACAGAGCATGATTGAAAACTGATATTCTCTACCGTGAAGTCGCCAGTTTTTAAGACGCTAAAAAATATGATATGTATACAGCACATTAAATATTCTCCTAGGCTTTATACGTGTCTCAGGAGAACAATGACGGCCAATTGTAGCAATTAGGGTATCGTACGAATTAGCAACGCAGCTGTTCGGCAGAAACGCCAGCAAATTTCGACGAGTTGCAATTAATCGTATCATGACACCCTGCAAAGGTTCGTGTCTCAGAGAACTTCTCAGATGTGTCGTTAAAAAGAAAAACACGCAATGTTATATCGAACACATATATAAAGAGAGAATACGCAGTGATCGTAAAAATAAAAAAACTATTATTGAAGACCGACGAGTACCAAGAAACATAATTTTTAATATTACACAAACGCAATTACAAACGCATTCCATTTATAAGAGTCTTCGTGGAGCATTAATTATCTCACCACATTTTGCCGAAGAAACTAATTGATTTTTTTCTTCATAATAAATCGAACACACATATGCCCGTAATATCTCGGATTTGACGAAACTGCATCTAACATTTTATATCACATGTAGGTAACTATTATCTTATCTCGCAAGGATGTTCTGCGATAAACTCGGATGCGTTTACAATGGTCGATAATACGTGTCTCAGCATTAGTATCGCAACTTTTCTTTGATTTTATCTTTTTTAATTGTCAAATATTTGCTGTTATAAGATAGAAGAGATACGAAACAAAAAAAATAATGAAAAGAAAGAAAAACAAAACAGGGAAATATGTGGAACGAAAATATGTCGATCAACTCGGGACATTTGCGAAATGATGTGTGATCGATCACGTTTTTCGCGTGAACAAATAGAATGTATTGAATCGAACACAACAATTATATTAAACGGCGTGTATATCATTTTGTTTCACACACATCGATCTTCTTCAACGCTGTTCGAAGAATGTCTGTAGCATCAAGCCCCACTTGAAAATATCTGTTACTACATTTCTTGGGGATACCGGGGAGATACCACCATACGACACATTATCATCGATAATGTCTCAACATGACTTTTGAGTATAAACATTAAATCTCCGGAAAGAGCTAACGTATTAAAAAAAAAAAAAAAAAAACTTACGAACGTTTTACACCGGGAACATTGTAGCTGAAAAAAGTTAAAAAATATCGAAGTTGGAAACTACCAAATGATGAGAATTTTCTTTTGTTTAAAAAAAAATGTAAAATTAGATTTTCTTTTTTCTCTGATTTCTCTTCTTTTGCCGCCGAAACAAACGCGCACATATATATATGGAATGCGTTTAGATTATCTCGATAGAAATTTCCACGCATTAGAGAAGTACTGTTCTCGCTTTGGTCACACGGTGCAATCTGGTTTCACAGCGACACTTTTCCGTACACAGTCGGTTATGAGAGACAGAACCGGTCTGGAACGCGAGAGTCTACGAAACAACGACGGAGACCGGCACAACAACGCAACGAATAGCCATCACTGTCAAGTTCAGATCAATTAGTCGAGCGATTTTCACACAATAAGCTAGAATAAAACAATAAAAATTATTGAATAAGATCAAATTAATGCAAATGATTGTGATTATATATTACGGTGTGACGATAATTGCGAGCCGCGCAAATTGATTTCAGACTGTCTCCGGTCGCGAGGTCTTTTGGCACAAGGCTTTGTGCAATGCGATACTTTCCCGGAAACATAATCTTAGCAGCACACGTGTGACTTTAGGAAACAGTCGTTCTTCTACCTTTATCTTAATACACACTTAACTATTTTTTTTCTCTCTCTCTCTCTCTCTTTGTCCCCTTCTCTCGCTCCGATCAGTGACGATGAAAAATAGTCATGAAAAGTAAGATTAGAGAAATATGATTGTAAAAATAAGATTTCTCTTATTAACAGTGAGCAATATTTCAAAAATGTTAAAAATAATTAATCGATACACGCGCAAAGTGATAGCTACGTTTGATCGTTTACGTTGTGCGTGCACAGATTGATTGATACGTTTGTCTGAACTTCGCGATTGGAAACGCGAATGTTCGCAGCAAGCGATGCTAATTCGCGCGTGCGGCGAAAATCACACAGCGTTTTTCACGTAGGCGGTAATCGAAATCTCTGCCGAGATATGAGCGCGCGCACGAAGAAGAACAAAGACCATGAACGCATCCTTTCGCTATCGCAACAAATGGCAAAAACATCGGGGGAAACGATGTAACAAAGAGAAGAGGCTGGCAAACGAGCAAACGAACTTGCCGAAAAAAATCGTCAAATCGAAATTAGAAATCGCGGAAAACATCCAACATTGTCGCAGCGCTTACGTTGCTGCCGCCGTGACGATTCTTCTCTCTAAAAATGTTTTGCGAGCAGCAAAAACAACTTACTTACTCGTTCCAACTCGTCTTGAATGAAGATATGGATAAGTCGACCGACGCACGGTTCGTGCGTACATATATGTACGTAAAGTATGTAAAAACCAGTCTCAAAGAAGCGTGTTGCACAACTCTCGAGGCACTCGCGCGAAATATATTGCGCATACTTGTATATTTCTCGCATGTAAATTGTGTCTCACCGTATACCGTGTGCATGTGAAGTCTCTTTTATTCTGTTAAAAACAGAAATAAACAGTAAAAAAAAATTGTGCGTTTATACGGTAAAATTTGTTCTTCTTTTATCCTGGTTTGATTGTTATCTCAATATAAAATAGATATACGTACAAAGAGCGATGTATCATAAAGGAGCAGAAATACGCATACACGTATGGAAGAAAGAAAGGAGCGTGTTCGGTCGTCACTCTAAGCTGCATCCGGCAAAGCGACAGTTTTTTGCTTTACTCCAAGTATTGCAAGCTACACGCCACTTGTGTTTAAAAGCGGTTGAATGGGAAGCTGTGCGAAGCAACATCTTTTCATTTCCAGTTGCACAAATTGCACAATCGAGTAAAAATAATACAAAAAAAAAAGAACAAAAAAAAAACAACTACCGTAAAAAAGCAGTTTTTAGATATTTTCGAAAGAGTTATCTCTTTTCTAACCGTAAAACTCTTATAACAGGCAATAGTAAATTTATTTCGATCTATTTCGAATTCAAGAAATATTGCAAATTACGTTTATGACACAAATGTGGTGTCAGTCCATTGTGTGTTAACACAAAAAACGCAATTCTTGCAACAAACGCAGAGAGAATGTAAATTGGAGCAGAAGTTCCTAACATCTAATAGAGTACATAACTTTTTGAAACGTTTTATTATTAATTAACTGAAAATTAAATCCAGGTAACTAATTTTAAACTAACGTCTCGATTTCAAAAGCTACATTTTTTCATTAAAATGTACAGTGCATTTTTCCAGTCGTAGACTTTTAAAATAGAAAAATATAAGCGCAAATGCTTTCTCTACACAAACGCGTGCGCTCTTTCTCTTCCTCTCACACACAATATATTTTCTTACATTTGTACACTTTGTTTTCTAACTTCTGTATATAAACGATAGCTATAAACTCTAACTGTAAGAAATAATAATAAAACACTAAAACATTGGAGGTAATACAACGTGGGAGGTCCACGCTCTTGTTTGCCATTCAAGATAGTTAAAAAAAAGTCGATAGCAAGATTATATTGTTGGCTACAAAATAAATTACTCGTACAATACGATCTCTCTTTATACGCACATTAGTTCAAATCGTTCTTTTGTGAGTGCCCGCATTTCTGTTTTTCAAGCTGACGTTGCATTACGAAATATAAATGAAAAATTGTTCAAACAAGAGTCGCGCGTTATGACACAATCACAGTTTTGTGTATACAAGTTGAGAAACTGAAAAAACAAAAACAATATATATACTCGAAGAAAGATATTTTTATTGTTTTCTCACCAAAAAAATCCTCCCAGCTAACCGAACCGTCGGAGTCTACCGAACTGGTGGTATTCGTCGCGGATTCTATATTCGCCTCGCTGCCCATGGTGGTGTCCACACAATTTCAACGAGCGTTCCCCGTCACAAGTATTTGAGAGTCGAGTTTGAAATGTCAACGTTACGTTGCCGCGTAACGCGCGATCATCGAGCGTTACATCGCGCCAAGTCTCGCCGTGCTATATACATCGAAAAATTGTATCAATCGGCACATCGATCCGCGATCGCGCGACGATCATTACTGATACGTCTTTTGGCGCCGAAAGTCACTAAACTTCGGCGACCGAACACCGAAGAAGGTGAACGATCGCGCGAGAACCTGTGGTGCACAAAACCTCCCACTCCTATCATCTGATACGAACCTTTGATTAAAGAGAAGACAAAGAGGTTGGGCCTATAAGAGATTGTGTAATCGCTTTTCCGCTCTGTAAGCCAGCGCCAGTGTCCATGAGTGGTGCACATTGGCAACCACGTACAACCATATCCGACAAACGATTTGTCGGTAAAGTAAAGTCACGTGACGTTACTTTAGTCACGTTTTCAGACACATCATCTAAGTAGGATCGTTCGATCATTGGGTGTGTTTAGCCGAAGCTAGCGCTACGTAGCGCTACGTAGCGGCTTCATGTAGCAGTTGCAATTGCTGCGTTACTTCTGCTGGACAGTATTGCTACGCGTAGCATGTTCTAAGTAGTGGCCGCCATTTTTGTAAGCAGTTGCAACTGCTACATAAAGCCGCTACGTAGCGCTACGTAGCGCTAGCTTCGGCTAAACACACCCATTGCGTCGCAAGGCGCACATGCAAATAGCAAGTCTCGTAAAGCCCGTTTTACATTGATCGCAAGCGCAAACGCAAGAAATAGATCTCGTAGAATTGACCAATCACGCTGGTCAATTGGCTGATTTCATCAATACGATTAGTCAATTCTACCAGACCTGTTCCTTGCGTTTGCGCTTGCGATCACTGTAAAACAGGCTTTAGAGATGAGCATCGAAAGAAAAATATCGATTTTTGTATCATATAAGTCTCTTGCACAATGGAAGGAATAGCGATAGCGATAGAAATAACACAGTTTTTAACACAGAATTCCAACTTGTCGGAAATTTTATCGCTATTGCTTATTCTGATTTTCTGATCTGCATTGATAAATGTGTATTTTTGTATGTTAGATTCCGCTGTTCTTATCGTTATTTATAAATATAAACTTTTTACAACTGGAATTATTTCTATCGCTATCGCTATTCCGTCCATTGTGCAAGGGGCTTAATATATCAAAAGCAATTATCGATATATATTGGAACAAAAATATCGCATAAATAATAAATAATAATAATAAATTGTATATAAGTTATTGATTTTATATAAATTAATTGTATATAAGTTAATATATTTAACTTAATTGTATATAATTTAAAATTTAGTATTACAAAGTTATTATTAAAATAAAAATAAAATGTGTTACAGCAGTAACTAAACATCTAAACAATTAATTCAAATATCATAATAAACGATATTAAATTGCTGTCAAAAAATAAAATAATAACTAATACTTCATAAACGAATTAAGATATTTATTATGGTTTAAAACTAGTAATAAATTTCCACAGTGGTAAGAACCGATCGCTGGATGTGTTTTGCAAATATATATACATATATAACAATTTTAAGTTAAATTGTAATATCATTAGCTATAAAAAAATTATATTAACATCAAAAATAAATAATAACTTCAAAATAGAATCTCTTTTTGTCTTTTATTAAAATTTTTTAAAAATATTACAAGCAGCAGAATCATAAAGTCAAGTATGATTAAAAAAAGAATTATACATAAGATTAAAAAAATAAACTTTCAAAAAATTATAGTGACCATTTTTGCTCGTCTAGAGAATGTAAAAATAACAATCTTGATAATATTTTCCCCTTCAATTTATTTCGTTGGTGCGTAAAAATCAATCCAGCTTTTGAAAAAAGCCTTTCAGAAGGAACAGATGTTCCCACTATGGTTAAATACTTAAATGCTATTTTCGATAAATATACATATGTAGAACTCATTTCTTTCCACATCTCAAAAGGATTATCTCCAAGTCGACCAACAGGTGCTCTCATATAAAGAGTGATTTCTGACGGCATATTTTCAGAATCTAAATCGTTTGCTTTTGTTTCATTCCAGGTATTTTGAACGAGCTTATGATGATCGCTCCATAAAGAAAATCCGCTTGAGCCTAGAAATAGAAGAAATATAATTGTTAATTATAACAATTGTACGATGTATTACGTTAGGTTAGATTAAATTAGGTTAATTTAGGTTAGTATAGTCATAACGCAGTATGAATAAACTTACTTGAGTGATCCGGGTCGGATGCTGATTTTGTAAATGATACATCGTTCGAATGAGTCATACTTTCTGTTACGAGATTTTTTAAAACACTTTGTGCTTTAGAACATGCTAGTATATCTTTAAAATGCAATTTTTTAAAGCGGGGATCTAAAAGTGTTGACAACGCTAAAATCTGTACATGTTCTATGTGATCAAAACGTGTTTTAATCTCGTATAACAAATCTTCTTTTAGTTGAATTCCTTCTACATGTTTAGGACATAATTTGTTTATTTCACTCTGCAAACAGCGAACCATAGGAATTATTATGCTACTTGTAACATATTTTTCAGCACATATTTGTTTTGTCGCTACTTTTAAAGGTTTCAATAAATCGCATATTTCTGTTAATATTTCTATTTCTTTAGCAGTAATCATAGGTGGTGCTTCCACATGACGATTCACGATATCATTTACTATTCGACGAAGTTTTAAAAATCTTTCAACCATATACAAAGTAGAGTTCCATCTTGTAGGGACTTCTTGAATAAGTTTTGTTTCGTTGGTAGTAGCTTTTTTAAGTTCATCACTAGCTACTACAGATTGTTTGAACCACGTCACTATCGTTTTTACTTTAATAATTAACTCGTTTATACTTTCATTTTTTTTCAAAGCTTTTGTAGAAACTAAATTTATCATGTGAGCAAAGCAAGGAATATGTTTGTTTGCACCAAATGCGATAGTCACAGCTTTTATCATGTTTGCTGCACTGTCAGTTACAACTGCAGTAACTTGATCCTTTTGAATATTCCATTCGGAACAGGTTTCTAGGAGTTTATCTGCAATATACTCCCCAGTGTGTCTTTCCTGTACATCATAAACTCCTAACGTAGCAGAATAGAGCTCGCTTCCAACGCCAAAATGAACCGTAACACCAAGAAAACTTCGTGTTTGCATTGTATCCGTCCAAATATCGGTTGTTAATGTACAACTCATCATTGATTTTAATTTTTCTTTAAACAGAGCTGACAGAACGTCAAATTTACTTTCAATTTTGCGTTTTATTGTAAATCGAGATGGAATCTCGTAATAAGGAGCAGCAGTTGTAATTACTTTTTTAAATCCTATATTTTCAATAATAGACAAAGGTTGACAGTCTTTAACAATCATAAATAATATCGCATTTAATAGTTCACGATTCTCTTCTCCTCCTTCTTTATAAGCACATATATTCTGAAATGATTCTTTTACTGTTTTTTGAACTTTGACTTCTTTACACACATTAGTAGTGATTAAATTAGGTGAACTAGAAGTCGAAATCGAGGGTAATAGTTCGTCATTCTGCTTTTTTATAGCTAATGTAGTAATTCGTGCTTTTTTTCTTTTAGATTCCGAACTTTCACTGATTTCAGAATTGTCAGAATTTTTAGTTTGATTTTCTTGCTGTTCGTTCTCTTTGTTACGAGATATAATAGTATTGCTCTCGATCTTAGGATGATTCTTTTTCATATGACTTTTTAAATTGGTAGTATTTCCTGAGGTTTTAAGAATTTTATTGCATATTCGACAAGTAGCCATATCGCCGCTTTTATCAAAAAACTTCCAGTATATACTTTTAAGTGGTGCCATAATATTTTAATAATAATCAACTGTTAAAAACAAATTATATTTTGATTAGGAGAAATTTTTTTAACTTAGGGACTTATTTACAAGGGCTTTGTTTGATTATTACTGGCAATACAGAGAAATCTACAGTATATGCAACATCAACTTATAGATTTTCAGTATTGTTAATAATAACCAAACAGAACAAGTATTACATTATAAGTGTGCTCGCAAAAATCGATACTACGGTTAACGGGCACGTTAAAAAGACTACATTAAAAAAAAGTATGAAAATATATATATATATATTTAATATTTAATAAACTACATAAAAAATATGAGTATATATATATATAAAATATATTCGTATCAAAGTAATACTTGTTCTGTTTGATTATTAGCAATACTAAAAATCTATAAGTTGATGTTGCGTATACTGTATATATTGTCGCGCTGCCGCCGCGTTTCCGCGATTATTGGAAATAACGTTACACTCAGTTAAACAGAGTGTAAGTTAAACAAACTCAGTTAAACTCTGTTTAACTGAGTGTAACGTTATTTCCAATAATCGCGGAAACGCGGCGGCGCGACAATATATATATATATATATGTATGTATGTATGTATGTATATGAATATATCTTACCTTTATCTTATAGAAGAGACAACAAAATATTGACACAAGTGACACAACTAATTCTCTCGCTACGACGAGGTTTAATACAGATGCAGAGCGCGCGTAACAGACAGCAACTTTTTGTTGACGCGCAAAATATAGAAGTTCTAGAAAATATAAAAGTTGTCAAAACATTGAATTTACTATGCAGTAATATAAAAATATATAAATACTGAAAATAAATACCTAACGCATATATGCGTATATATCAATGAAGAGGTTAACTGTTTTTCAATGTGGGTCAGATATTTGCAAGATCGCGCACGCAGCAACGCATATATATAATACTTTTATATTGCTAGTCGCGTATCTTCGCAATGAGAGGCACGAGGCCCGAGAAAGAGAGACGCACGAAGTCCAAATATGGGCATAGATAGTCGAGCGTTATTATGCGCAGGCGCGTCTACTAAGCGAGTGCGAGCGAGACAAAGAAGTATTAAGCCTCTTGCACAATGGATGGAATAGCAATAGCGATAGAAATAACAAAAGTTTTAAGCCTCTTGCACAATGGACGGAATAGCGATAGCGATAGAAATAACACAGTTTTTAACACAGAATTCCAACTTGTCGGAAATTTTATCGCTATTGCTTATTCCGATTTTCTGATCTGCATTGATACATGTGTAGTTTTGTATGTTAGATTCCGCTATTCCTACCTTTATTTTTAAATATAAACTCTTTAAAACTTTTGTTATTTCTATCGCTATCGCTATTCCGTCCATTGTGCAAGAGGCTTAAANGGAATCTAACATACAAAACTACACATGTATCAATGCAGATCAGAAAATCGGAATAAGCAATAGCGATAAAATTTCCGATGAGTTGGAATTCTGTGTTAAAAACTGTGTTATTTCTATCGCTATCGCTATTCCTTCCATTGTGCAAGGGGCTTTAAAAAGTTTATATTTAAAAATAAAGGTAGGAACAGCGGAATCTAACATACAAAACTACACATGTATCAATGCAGATCAGAAAATCGGAATAAGCAATAGCGATAAAATTTCCGACGAGTTGGAATTCTGTGTTAAAAACTGTGTTATTTCTATCGCTATCGCTATTCCTTCCATTGTGCAAGAAGCTGTATATATATGACGGTTATGGCTAAAATTTTTTCACATGTAAAGGCCATCACACACAAAATTACTTACGATCGTAAGACGAGCCCGTAAGGAAATTGACCAATCAGAATGTATCCTATAATTCCGATCAAACAATGCGATATTCATTATCAGATAAAATTATCGATACCTTTTTGATATTATCAATAACAGAATATCGATATTAAAATATCGAATATCAAAAGAATTATATCGATATTGTCGATATATCGATATCATATGCTCATTGATGCTCATCCCCTACAGATGTTGTTGCTCAGTATAGGATACATGTGTGTATATTTTTTAGAAGTTGTGTGTAAAAAAGGTTAAGAACTCGTTAAAAATTGCATCAATTTCTCCTGTATGGGACAGTGAAAAGTAGCAATATCCTATCATGTATTCCATAAACAGAACTACTCATCCTGCGACAGGAGTCGAGCACGCGATTACATGCCATTTTTTTAATCGTACTGAAAAATGTCTCGTTGTTGCCGGTGCGAATGTTATACGAGTATTTCGTCTGATTCCGGACGTTGATATCACAAGAAAAGAAAAATATACAGGTAATTTTCTACCTTGTGCGTTCGTTTTTGCATAATCCATTTGATTGTGCAGATTGAAGACGAGGTTTTTTTTGCAGAAACACGCCCTCCTAAAATGAAGTTGGAATGTTTGGCACAGTATATTTTACATGGAAACATCATGTCCATGCAATCTGTTTATCTTCTCGGCTCACAAAGAGATTCCTTACTCTTGAGCTTTCGGGATGCAAAACTATCTGTTGTAGAATATGACCAAGATACTCATGATCTGAGAACAGTGTCTTTACATTATTTTGAAGAAGAAGAAATAAAGGTAAAAATATTTTGTACACATATAAAGAAAAAATATGTATCTTTATTTTATTATTTGTCTTAATAGTTTGTAATCAAAATATTTTATTATTTAAACTTGTATTACAAATTATTGTAAAGACTTTAAAGATTTAGTAAATAGTAAAATGTTTTTATAAGATGTATGTGTGTGTATATTGTGTATATAGATGTTTCTTTATAATTATTTACCAAAAACAGATATTTAAAATATTTGTTTTATATTTCTTTCAATTAGGATGGATGGACAAATCATCACCATATACCAATTGTAAGAGTGGATCCTGAAGGAAGATGTGCAGCAATGTTAATTTATGGCAGAAAATTGGTTGTATTACCTTTTCGCAAAGATCCTAGTCTTGATGATGCTGATTTGCTTGATACTGCAAAATTAACATCTCACAAAACTCCTATATTATCTTCATATATGATAGTATTAAAAACACTAGAAGAAAAAATGGATAATGTGATAGATTTACAATTTTTGCACGGTTATTATGAACCTACATTATTGATTTTGTACGAACCAGTGAAAACCTTCTCAGGGTAAGTATAAAATTTTGTATCTTTTAGAGAAATACAAGAAAAAAAATACAATAGATACTAATTAATAAGATAAACCTCTGTACATATAGACGTATTGCAGTGAGGCAAGATACTTGTGCAATGGTTGCTATATCCTTAAATATTCAGCAAAGAGTTCATCCTATTATTTGGTCTGTATCTAACTTGCCATTTGACTGTTATCAAGTTGTACCAGTGAAGAAACCTTTAGGTGGCACACTGATTATGGCAGTCAATTCACTTATTTATTTGAACCAAAGCATACCTCCTTATGGAGTATCACTTAACAGTTTAGCTGACGCAAGTACAAATTTTCCACTAAGTAAGACATCCACTTAGTGACATTGCGTTTTTGATACCTTGAAGATATATTATACATATTATTGTATATTATTATATGTATTTTTTATTTTTGTAGAGCCACAGGAAGGAGTAAAAGTTAGTTTAGAAGGGGCACAAGTTGCATTTATATCATCAGATCGCTTGGTTATTTCTTTGAAAAGTGGAGAATTATATGTTTTGTCTCTCTTTGCGGACAGCATGCGATCCGTACGTGGATTTCACTTCGATAAGGCTGCTGCTAGTGTATTAACATCATGTGTAAGCACTTATAATTTTGAATCGCTACACGTACACTTATCTGGTATGAGATATTATGTTTTTGTATCATTCTTTAGGTGTGTATGTGTGAAGACAATTATCTGTTTCTTGGCTCTCGTCTTGGTAATTCATTATTATTACGATTCACTGAAAAAGAATTAGAAACTTTAAAGAATCTGGATAGCGATGAAGTGATTGTTGAAGAGAATGAGAACGACGAAACTCCAGCCAAGAAGGCGAGAGAAGACTTTCTTGGAGATTGGATGGCATCGGATGTATTAGATATCAAGGATCCAGAAGAGTTGGAAGTATACGGCAGTGAAACTCATACGTCTATTCAAATTACTTCATATATTTTTGAGGTATAAGCAATTTTTATATTTTACATTCTGTTTTGCTGTTCAATTCTTTGCTTTTTGCAATAGTTTTTTCTTTTATTCGTAATATTTAACACTTTATTTGCAGGTATGTGACAGTTTATTAAACATTGGGCCATGTGGAAATATTTCCATGGGAGAACCAGCTTTTTTATCTGAAGAATTTTTGCACAATCAAGACCCTGACATAGAACTTGTAACGACATCTGGATATGGGAAAAACGGAGCACTTTGTGTATTACAACGATCCATACGTCCTCAGGTGATTGATAATTAGTATAGCTTCCATCTACGTATATTTTGCGCGTGAAAACATATACTTGTGGAAATATAAATGTATATATGTTACTGTGAAAACTGAAAATTCGTGAAAACCGTATTTTACTAAGCAAAAATAGTTTTGTGAAAGAGATAAAATGTAAATCTCTCTATTATAATAAATCTCTGGTTTATCAATCATAGGTTGTAACAACATTTGAGCTGCCTGGTTATATAGACATGTGGACTGTTATCGGTACATTAGGTAAAGACGAACAAGTTAAAACAGAAGCAGAAGGATCTCATGCTTTCTTAATATTGAGTCAAGAAACCTCAACTATGGTATGTATAAATAATATTTCTAATCATATCTTATGTATATAAATGTTTGCATTTTTGTACATATATATCCTGGAGAGATGATAATACATCTGATAATATAATTTTTTTCTAAAGATTCTGCAAACTGGTCAAGAAATAAATGAAATAGATCAAAGTGGATTCAATACACAAGGAAGTACGGTATTTGCTGGTAATCTTGGCGCCAATAGATACATAGTGCAAGTTACTCAAATGGGAGTTCGTCTTTTACAAGGCATTGAACAGGTACGGTTCATGTAGTAACTTTGTATAAATCAGTTTCGATTAACTGATTTTGTTTTGATTCGCAAATTTAATTAATAAAGAGAACTTAGAGAAAGTAGAGCAAAAGAAAAGTATTTAAAAATTCGATCATGTGTTTGTGTTATATAAGAATAAGTACAATTTTCACATTTATATTCTTAATTACAGATTCAACATATGCCCATAGATTGTTCAATTGTACAAGCAAGTTGTGCCGATCCATATGTAACGTTACTCTCAAAAGATGGAAGAGTGCTTTTATTAACACTTAGAGAAGTAAGAGGCACGGCAAGATTACACGCCCAAGCTGCAAATTTATTATTCGTAAGGTTTTATTGATTTTTTAATTAATATATCCTTCACTATATAAATATCACATGAAGTATTACATATATCTTACGTTTACAGCGTCCGCAGATAGAGGCATTATGTGCTTATAGAGATGTTAGTGGGATTTTTACAACACAATTGTCGGAAACAACAGATGATGAACAAATTGAAGAAGAGCACAACGTAGAAGAACCGGCAGTTTTAAGTAATATTGATAATGAAGACGATCTATTATATGGCGATGCCCCGGCATTTCAAATGCCTACACTGTCGTATCCAAAAGCATCGGATACTACTGCGAAAAAAGCGCCCTGGTAAAATTACTTTGTCATATCTATGGAACGCACAATTCTGTGAAATATTTGACTAAAACACTCACAGTATATTAGTATATTGCTATATTTGATATTAAAAGAATTTATCGACCTCTCTCATACTAACTTGTAGTACAATGTTTGTAATAGGTGGCAAAGACATCTGCAAGAAATCAAGCCCACATATTGGTTATTTGTATACAGAGATAGTGGGACGTTAGAAATTTATTCTTTACCCGATTTGCGACTTTCTTATCTTATTCGTAACTTCGGCTACGGTCAATATGTACTGCACGACAGCATGGAATCAACAACTTTGCAACCAGCACCTGTTAATGAAATTCCCAATCCCGAAATGCAGGTAATTTAGTTGCAAATGTGTTTATCTAAAAATCTCAATTATTCTCGATGTGTATGTGCTGTTGAGAAACATTTGTTTGTGTAGGTTCGTGAGATTCTAGCGGTTGCTTTAGGACACCATGGAAACAGACCGATGCTTTTGGTTCGTCTCGATTCGGAGTTGCAAATTTATCAAGCTTACAGATATCCGAAAGGACATCTAAAATTAAGATTTAAGAAATTGGATCATGGAATAATCTTTGGACATCTCAGGTTTAAATAATTTTATATAACAATTACTTAAAATATAAATTACACAGGCCTACACAAAAAAATGGTCTGAACTCTCTGAAACCTCCTATTTTGACTTCAGATTTGAATTCAGCACCTCAAAATACGTAAGAAAACATGTTTCCCATTTCGAGTTTAGACCATTTTTTTGTGTGGGCCTGTGTTATTTATTCTATTTATTTCTTTATCAAAATGTAATTTTGTTGTGCGTAGCGTTTTTTTAAGTATCGCTTTATTGAATAATTTTAATTTTTATAATTGAAAATGTTCCTTTACAGATCAAAGTTTAAGGAAGAAGATATGTCAACTACAAATGATATTCGTATCAGCATGATGCGTTACTTCAGTAACATTGCCGGATACAATGGAGTATTCATCTGCAGTGATTATCCGCATTGGATATTTTTAACTGGACGCGGTGAATTACGTATCCATCCAATGGGCATTGACGGATCTATCACATCCTTTGCTGCTTTTAACAATATCAATTGCCCACAAGGTTTCTTATATTTTAATAAAAAGGTATTAATTATCTGCTTTATTTTTTTATATTTTTCCTTTCTGTTGTATATTTAAATATTATTTATTTTTGAACTCTTTAGGAAGAGCTACGGATATGTATTTTACCAACTCATTTATCATATGATGCTCCTTGGCCGGTGAGGAAAGTTCCTTTGCGATTTACTCCACATTTTGTTACGTATCATCTTGAAAGCAAGACGTATTGTGTCATAACGAGCATGTCTGAACCTCTCAAAAGTTACTACAGATTTAACGGAGAAGATAAGGTATTGATAAAAATTTATTTCTAAATTTTTAATTTCTAAAATATTTATTTCTTAAATAGTTTACATCATAGGAAAAGGGCAATAATAAAACTTATTATTCTAACGTAGTTTTTTTAATTAAGGAATTTACAGAAGAGGAGCGTCCAGATAGATTTCTTTATCCTTCTCAAGAACAATTTTCTATTGTATTATTTTCTCCAGTTTCATGGGAAGCTATACCCAATACAAAAATCGAATTAGATCAGTGGGAACATGTTACTTGTTTGAAAAATGTGTCTTTAGCTTATGAAGGAACAAGATCTGGACTGAAAGGTTATATAGTCTTGGGAACGAATTATAATTATGGCGAAGATATTACAAGCAGAGGACGAGTAAGTTATATAAAGTAAAAAACAATCAAATTGGTTTCGATTAAGACTTGTTAATTACTTCAAAATTTTCAGATACTTATATTTGACATAATCGAAGTGGTACCTGAACCTGGTCAACCGTTAACTAAAAATAGGTTTAAGCAGATTTATGCGAAAGAACAAAAAGGGCCTATAACTGCTATCACACAAGTATCAGGATTTTTAGTGTCAGCTGTTGGCCAAAAAGTATTCCCTCACGATTTATTTTTACACGCGAATTACTCTTATGTCTATTTTAACATTACAAAAATGTATGTTATTTTATTATAGATTTACATTTGGCAGTTAAAGGATAACGATCTTGTTGGAGTTGCTTTCATCGATACACAGATCTATATTCATCAAATGCTCAGTATCAAAAGTCTTATTTTAATAGCTGACGTTTATAAATCCATTAGTTTACTGAGATTCCAAGAAGAATACAGGACACTCTCTCTTGTTAGTAGAGTAAGTATGATTTATTTATTTGCCCCTTTACTATTAGAAGTATGTAAAATACATAATTTGTTTTATATTATAGGACTTCAGGCCAGCGGAAGTGTACACAATAGAATATTTAATTGATAATACGAATTTAGGATTTCTTGTGGCTGACGGAGAAAGCAATTTAGCTTTATTTATGTATCAACCGGAATCCAGAGAAAGCCTAGGAGGACAAAAATTAATCAGAAAAGCGGACTTTCATTTAGGACAAAAAATAAATACCTTTTTTCGAATTAGGTGTAGAACTACTGATCCTGCAAATGATAAGAAGCATTTTTCTGGCGCTGACAAAAGACACATTACTATGTATGGTAAGTCACAATACGTTGATTATAGATTATAATATACACACGTGTGTGTATGTGTGTATAAATGTTTTATTTTACGTTTTATAGCATCATTGGACGGTGGGCTTGGTTATATTTTACCAGTACCCGAAAAAACATATCGAAGACTACTCATGTTACAAAACGTGTTGGTCACACATATTTGTCACATTGCTGGTTTGAATCCAAAGGCATATCGGCAAGTCTCAACTTACAAAGATATTTGCAATTATTTTGAGTTTACTTTAATCAATAACATTGTGCAAATTCTCTTTGTTTAGCACATATAAAAGCTACGTACGAAATCAAGGAAATCCAGCAAGAGGTATTATAGACGGCGATTTAGTGTGGCGTTATCTGTTTTTACCCAATAATGAAAAGACAGAAATCGCCAAGAAAATTGGAACACGCGTTGAAGAGATTATTGAAGATATCACTGAGATCGATCGGCAAACAGCACATTTTTAATTCAACTGCTAATATATTTATTGTTTCAACTTTTCCTATTGTATACTGTTCTTACTGGCATATAGTCGATGAACATAAATGCTCTAGCATACAAAAGTTGCGTCAACTAATGCTTTTTCATTCATTTTTCTTTATTTGATACACTATTGGTGTAAACTTCACATTGGTTGCTAAACTGTGTTTTTTAATTATTTATAAAAATGGCAAAAAAAGTGTCAAAGTATTACAAAAATGGCGGCCACTACTTAGAACATGCTGCGCGTAGCAATACTTCTGTCCAGCAGAAGTAACGCAGCANTTGCAACTGCTACATGAAGCCAGTTGCAACTGCTATGTAGCGCTAACTTCGGCAAAACACACTCATTTACGCGAATTTATTGGTGTATTTATTGATATATATTTCACAATTGTTTAATTTGAAAAACGTATCTTATTAAACTACAACCTAAATTTGTAGTGTTTCAATATCTACAATAAAAGATATTTTTTACTTTTCTTGAAAAAAAGATATATATTTATAAAAAATAAATTATGCTTCGTTTATATACGATACAATAACTTTTATCAGATCATATCACGAATCATTAAATTAATATAAATATTTTGTGTTATGTAATGACAATGTCAGTTTCTCAAATGCGAATTTCCGAGTTTTCTCCTCCATCAACTTCTAGAAAAAGCATCATTGAGAGACGTATAAGCAGACGATCAACTCTGAGATGTATGTATTAGTAAAAGGACTGTAATTAATGTACAGAGATAGGTGTGTAAAATATAATTTTATAAGTTTTTAATAAAAAAATATTTTATAAAAATTTTCTTAATAATGTTCTACCAAAAAATAACATATATGCATACGTTAACAAATCTTGTCGATATACTTTTGGAGAGTATACCGACTAAGTAAATCACACATTATTTATTGATCAAACAATACAAGTTAGTCACCTCAGTTGAGTCTTGAAAATAATCGTTTTTTTCAATACGAAAAGAATTTTATAAGTTTAAGTATCAGTAAGTATCTTTCTCTTAGTATACAGATTTTTTTCCGTAGTTAACAATACTTTTCTTTATAATTTAGTGCCAGTGCCAGAGCCGTCGTTATTAGAAAGAAGACTTTTTGAAGCATTCGATGTGTTCGATAATGCAAGAACTGGAGAAGTAAATGTTAGAGATTTAGGAACTATAATTAGAGCGTTAGGTAGCAATATTTCACAATAAAAAAGATGGTTGTATTCTCTATAGTATAAATTTTTCATATTTTATATATAAATTTATATACTTCTCTTTCATGTTACTTGATAGGATGTGTCATCACAGAAGCTGAATTACAAGAAATACAAGTAGAAGTAGAAGATGTTGAAAATAATTGCGTACCATTAAACAGATTCGTAGAGTATATGAGCAAAGCAATTAACGAACGCAAGTAAGATGACAAATAAAATCTCAAATTTATATACTGCGCAAAATAAATTCTATCGTATTACTTGTTACTTAGGTTTAAACCGGCAGAACCGGAAGAATTATTGAAAGCATTTCAATTATTAGATCCCGAAAATCGTGGTTACATCACAAGGGATGATTTAGAGAAGTCACTTATAGAAATCGGTGAACCATTTACAAAAGAAGAAGTAGCTGATATGATGGCCGTAGCTTGTGATGCAAATACAGGAAAAATTAATTACGAGCATTACATCAATTTGTTAATTGTACGTAATTTTTTCATCAGTGTTGCAGTATTAGTTACAAATTTTTTTTTTTTTACGTGGCCCCCACTGTGACCCGTCACAGATCCTCTGGTGATTGTCTGCGTGGTAGACAATGCTATCCCGCAGCCACTACTCGCACCTTAAGTTGTACCGGAACGACGGCCTGACTAGATGACCGGTCACCCCAACATTTACCGCCTATTAGTTAAAATCTGTTATATCAACAGGTTATCAATTTTTTATTCTTCCAATGTTATTGGTAAAAATTATACTGCAGTATATTACAGGTAAAATTTCCCGAAGATATCAATGTCTATAATATTGCTGAAAAAGAGGCTGCAAAATTGGCAGCATTACCTAGAAGATGGGGAAGCATTATATTTCGAGACAGTAATCGTTCTTTCTCAAGATGATCAAAATTTAACGTAACACTTCAATCAAAACAACTAAAGATTCAAGATATTGATGAAAAAATTTTATTAAATGAATAAGTTTTTTCAAATGTAATAAATGTTAAAACCTAAAGTTAGAAGTATATTATAAATGCATTTTATTATATATCTCATACATATATAAAATTATGTACATATTTGAAAAATATATATTTTTTTTTCCTTAAAAAAAATATGTATAATATTTTCGATATATATAAATTTATATGTATACCTCTTTACTGTAAATTCCATTCCAACAAGTGAAAGTATAACTAAATAAACTGTTACAAATCTTATAACTTCGAAAATACTGGAGGATCACCTTTAGCAAACTGTGTCATGACTGAATTCGCCAAATCTTCACTCTGAAGCATTACTTTGTTTTGCATTGCCTATAAATATATGTATATATTTGAAATTTGACTTTTTTACGTGCAAATTATTTTGCAATATATTAACAAATATGACGAACGACAATAATGTTTGCTGTGTGATTTTAGGTGGAATAATTAGAAGAGAGAGAACAAAGAATACTCACAATATGATCTAGTCCTTCTTGAACTGTATGGTCTCTGGAATATACTATGCTTATTTTTGAACCTTGGACCGCAACTGGACTCTTCTTCGCAATACTTTCACCAATTTCTATCGATGTATTCAACAAGCTGATTTCCAAATAATATTAAAATCAATTATTTTATTCATAATCATATAAGTTGGCATATTTTTCAAGTTTCTTAAGTGTGTGTAGTTTTTACCTATCTTCATTATCGAATATACGGCTTATGAATCCACTTTGTAGTGCTTCACTTGCTGGATATTTCCGTGCGGTATAAATAAGCTCTCTTACTAGACTATCAGAGCCTATTATCTTTGGAAATCTTTGAAGTGTACCGACATCAGCAGCTAAGCCTATATCAACTTCTTTGATTTGAAAGTATGCATTGGTAGTAGCATAACGTATGTCAGCTGCAGATATCATATCCACACCTGCACCGACACATGCACCTTGCACAGCAGCTATTACTGGTTTGGGACACTGTTAATCAAATTGACACTATTACTTTTTTATGGCGTCAAATGTTTAAAGTAACATCATATATTTACATAATGAAATACCTTTTCTATGGCGGTAAATGTCTCTTGATAGTTTTTAATGTGAAGTTCCAAGACTTTGCACTTACGAGCAACATCCTCATGCTGTCCTAAAGTTTTACCTAATTCCACCATTCCCTGAAGATCAAGTCCTAAAAAAAATAGATATCACAAGAAAAAACTTTTGAATAAATGTTTTTATTTATATTCCATTTTATTTACCTGCACAGAATACTCTGCCAACAGCTGATAAAACAACTACTCGACACTCGGGATTTTCTGCTAATTCTTCAAAACATTCTTTAAATTCCCTATAAACACATTATTTAATAGAATAAATTGGAAAATTATATTTAGTAGAAATTATATAGTAGAAGATATATAAGATAGTAACGTACTTCCACATGGTTGGATTCATGGCATTCAGTTTTTCTGGTCTGTTCAGGTTGACCAGATAAACAAACGGTTTTGGACTAGATACTGATAATGTCTTGTATATAGGTGCCATTTTTGTGCAGTATTTCAACGCAGAAACAGATTGTAAAGCTGTAAGTTGTATGCGTGTGTTTGTACATATAACAGATGGAAAACAGATACGCAAGGTTATCTGTCGAATTTATTCGTTTTATGAAAAAACACGTTGAATGACCATAATTTCATCAGGATTTGGAAGTCAATCTGAACATTACTTACTTATCGATAGACCGAAAAAACTTTTACTAGTACTCTTTTACTCATTGTTTTAAACTCAATTAAGACTAGATGTCTAGTGATAAATAATATCGCACACTTTTAACAGTTACTAAAAAAATACAAACTTACTTTTTCGAGCTGTTCGTGACAAAGCGTTTGTGACAATATACGCTGCCATGTCAAAACTTAATCTTAATACACGTAAAAAACTACTTGTCAATCAGCAATGTTGTAACACTTCGTGACTTCTAATCGCGCGTTCCGCGTTGACGCGTTTAATGGCTCTAAGTTTAAAGGCCAAAGTCCACTTTGAAAACAAACATGCAACAGGGGGAATCTCACAAACTCAAAAACATTTTTTGTAAATTATTTTTTGAAACTTTTATTTAAGATAATTAATAAAAAAATACTTGATATGTACAATAATATATTTTACTTTTTATAAGTAAAATATATTTTTTTAAAAGTGTTTATCAATTCTTTTAATGTAAATAAAAGAATAAGATTGACTTATTATTAATCCTTTATTTGTCTATTACTCTGTAACTGTTTCAAACAGTACCATGATTTTGGAAATTCATGCAATTCGGTAGAAGTACAGTCATCACTGACATAAGGCACATGCCAGCAATCATTATTTTTTTGCACAGTTGGCATAAAAATAAAAGGCTCTTGTACATAGAAAGTAGGTTTACTTTTTTTGACTAAATATTGATGCGAACACTGCCACTTCGTGAAATCTTGTTGCAAGCGAATATCTTTTAAGCTATGTTTGTGTTGCCGCATTAAATCTTGTGACACAAACATTGCATCATGTCCACTAGCCATGGTTGCATAAAGTATGTAAGGATCATCAGCAGACCTAAAATTTCAATGATACACTACATGAGATGATACTAATAAAGTAAATATATTAAAATATATAAAATTGTATTACACACGAATATTAATATAACAAACATAAATGCAAAAAAGCAAAACTTTCAATTTGTTTTTAGTATAAACTTTTTATGTTATAGAGAAACAAGAGTTATAGAGTAAAGAAAAATCTTAAATTATACATTTAATGTTTCATATCAAGATGTAATACTCACAAATTATCTATGAAAAAGACAGTTGCTTTTTGTTGTACATAGTTTAAAATAGGCAGTTTCTTTTGATGTTTGCGCGTTAACACAAGTATCTTTTTTCTATGTGTGCTGAAATAGTCAATCACGTTTTTTAACTGCAATATAAAGCAATGTTTTTATTAATTATTTATATTTAATGCAAAACTTTTCTTACATATAAAAATAAGGAAAAAATTTGAACCAATGAGATTAATTAAATAGAAAATATAATAATTTTTGCTGTGTACAATACTAAGTAAATTTTTATTTTTTAAATATAAACATGAATACAATACCACTTGTGACATAGACTTGTCATTTTTTTGAATGTAAATCAAATTAAGTCCGTCAATAACAATATCATAGGGTTTAGTTTTTTCGATGAATGTCTTAAATCTATTCAACTCATTTGGATTGGTCTTGTGATAAATATCTGATCCTATGATCACTCTGTTCATGAAGAATTCAGCTAGTTCTTGGAAATTTTGTTTGTTGAATGTTATCTTGGATAAAGAATGACCACAATGTTTGCAACATTTTCTAAACAGAAAGAAAGTAAATATAATTAGTAAAAACAATTATGTATTATGTCATATTAAAAGTCTAAATACTCTTTCTCACAATCCTAACTTTATAAAATAAAACTATATAAAACTTAGGAGCTATTACATAAAACAATATTAAAAGAAAATTCTAATAAAGATTTGTCTCTTTCACATTTAGATTAATTTTTTAAAAGAAATAAAATTGATCTATATCTTGGAAGAAAAGTATGACAAAGCAGATATTCACATGTTGGACATTATTGTAGATGCTGATGACCAGCCATACTTTGTAGCTGTACTAGCATACATATGTATGATGCTATATTGTGGCACAATGTTGTATTCAGACCAAAATTTTAACATTTCTTCTAGTCTGCTGCTAAATGCCTCTGCTGTTCCCTCCAACTCACAATATGTCAAATATGATTTATATGCAATAGTTTGTGGAATCAGATTGCGTAATGCTATTGCTGACATTGCTTTCCATGCAACATCAGGTCTTCTATTTTTAAATGCTGCACTAGCTAATGCAGAATATACAGCTGTGCCTGGAGAGTTAGTAAGCTTCATCATTTCTATCAATTCAAATGCTCTTTCCCACTGATCTGTTAAACACAGGCTTATTATGCAATGTTCAGCTGTGATAGAATCTAAATAAGGGTATTTTTCCCTCAAGGCATTATAAGTTTCAACAATTTCTGCTTTATCCATATCAGTCAGTGAATCATGTTTCATACAATAGAGTCTTAGATATTTTCCAAGTATTCCCACATTTAAGGAATAATTGTATTCTCTAAGAAATTTGAAATATCTAATAGCATTGTCTACATGGAGTTTCTGAAGACATATATCCATAATTGTAGAATCTACTACAGCAGGTGTTACTTTTTCAAGTTGGAGAAAGTTTTCTCGTATACTTTGCCATTCTGTATTTGAGATATCTTCGTTCATGATTCTGTTACAGATATCAACATTTTGAGAAATAATAATGTTTAAAGGAAAAATTTTTCTAGTATTTGCTATTTGCTTTAACAGGCATGTGCTTCTATAAAATTTGTATTGCCAGGACCATAGCGGCTGATACAACTTGTAGACTACAGCCATTTGACCTATAGTGAAAAAATAACATTTATCTAACAAGTTTTTATTTTTGTTTCCATTATTGATTCAATTGATAACAATTTTAAAATAGTAATGTATTTATGCTCATTCGCGACGTAGCTTTACATAAAATGAAAGAATCTAACAGTATAAACAGTATCCACTTCGCAAGGCGAGTTATCAAGCGCCAAGATGATGTCCAGGTTAGAAAATCTGTCAATACAACAGACTGCCATGATGTAAAGCCTGTTTTACATTGATCGCAAGCGCAAACGCAAGGATCAGGTCTAGTAGAATTGACTAATCGTATTGATGAAATCACCCAATGGACCAGCGTGATTGGTCAATTCTACGAGATCTATTCTTTATGTTTGCGCTTGCACTCAATGTAGAACGGGCTTAAGAAGTCAAGATATATTCTTCCCAAAATGTCAATGACCTTACGGTAATATATGAGGGAGAATTCGCAATCCCCTCAAATTCGCGATCCCCTCATATGAGGGAGAATTCGCGATCTCCTCAAATTCGCGATTCCCTCATATGAGGGAGAATTCGCGATCCCCTCAAATTTGCGATCCCCTCATATGAGGGAGAATTCGCGATCCCCTCATATGAGGGAGAATTCGCAATCCCCTCAAATTCGCGATCCCCTCATATGAGGGAGAATTCGCAATCCCCTCAAATTCGC